CTGGACAGTATCTCCTTCAATGATCTTAATTTCCATGGTGGCCTTGGAGAGTGACTAAACTGCAGACACTTTCTATGAAGAAAAGACAGCAGACACCTTTTGTTTTGACCTCTGCACTCCTTCCATGTTCTTCTCATGCTGTCTGTAACTGGAAAATACACTGGACAGAAACATTCCACAGGACAGGACTTGGGGATAGTTGAAACGCTGAACACACTGAAGCTGACCTTTGATGGAACAATTCTATTAAGTAAAGCAGGAAGTAGTACATGATTGTGAGTGTTTAGGAAAGAGTATATCACAATGCTGAGAGCAGTGGGCTTCCTTCCCTTTCAGTCTAGCACATTTTTATGCAAATGTCTTATTTCAAAATGAAACCCACTTGTCAGATCTAGAGAGTCTTGCATTCACTTATTAATATGAAGAAGGGTACGATCTTAGTTCTAACTGCCATGGCCTGTTGTGCTAAGATGAAAAGCTGGATGTCAGAGCTTTGAGTAAATCATAACCATCCTTATTTCACAGAGACTTTACAATTTGGACATTAAATTCTTCCTGAAGTCAAAAAAATAGTTTTTTGTTTTGCTTTCTGAGACAGGGTCTCTCTGTGGCTTTGGAGCCCATCCTGGAACTTGCTCTGTAGATCAGGTTGGTCTTGAACCCACAGATATCCTCCTGAATGTGGGTGTCAGTGAGGAGGCCTAGGTAATCTATGGGGCCTTGGGCAGTAGATCAGTATTTATCTCGGGTATACAAATGGACTTTGGACTCCCATCCAACAATGAGACTCTCACCCTGGACTCTTGGGGGAGGGTCTAGGCCCTGCCCTGGATGAAATGACAGACTATGGACACCCACATGGAGGGCCTCATCCTCCCTGGGGATATGAGGGAATATTGGAGGGGTTGGTGGGAGGGCGCAGGAGGAGGGGAGGGAAACGGAGAGGGACCTGGAATTGACATGTGAAGCAACCTTGTTTTTAATTTAAATTTAAAAATAAAAAATAAAAAAGAATAAAAAATTAAGAAAGTGTTGTTGATGTATAGATGTTACTGTTACCATGGAAACTGGGGTTCCCTTTTGTGCTCTTAGACTCATTAATGAAATACTTTTAAAATGGGAAGGGGACTTGAGGAGATAACTCTCCTGGCAGCTCTTCCAGAGGAACTGAGTTTGACTCCTGCCATTCACATGGCAGTTCATAAACATCTGTAACTCTAGCCCCAGGGGATCTAGTCACTCTTCTGACATCTGGGCACCACATACATGTGGTGTGCATACATATACTCAGGCAAAACACCCACACACAGAAAACCACAAATATTTTAAAATTAAAAGTGGGCGCCAAGCATAGTGATACACATCTTTAATTTCAGAAGTCAGGAAGGAGAGACAGGCATAGTTCCATGAATTTGAGGCTAACATGGTCTACACAGCAAGTTTGAGACCAGCCGAGTCTATGTAGTGTAGTCCTCACCCTACGTCAAGGAAACTTCCTTTTGCAACAGACAGACCACCGAAGGAAACCACAGCCAATCAAAATGCAGAGTGGAGCCCAGTTCCAATGGATACATCTACATAACACTCTCAACTAAGGCTCAAGGAACATTCTAGAAGAGAGGGTAGAAAGACTGTAAGAGCAGGAGGATAAGGTTGGTTAGTATGAGATTGTGTCTCCTAGTAATATCAGATCCTAGGCCTGGAAGCTTCATTTGATGGCAAGAGATGGCCACTTAGGACTCTGTCTCCCCAATTATTTTATTTAGATCACCTTCATATATGTATATATTTTAGGAAGCTCCAACTGTATTAATTTTCTCTACTAACCCTCAAATGGTCCTTGATTTTAACTGTTTCTTCCCTTCACCTCCCCCACTTGATCATCCCATTCCAACCTACCCCATCCATAAACACTATTCTATTTTCCTTTCCTAATCTATCTGAGATCTATCTGTACCCTTTAGTCTCTTACTCCATACCTAAACTCTATGGTCCTAAGGATTGAAGCTTGGTTGTCAATGACTTCACAGTTAATATCTACAGATAAGTGTATACATACCATATTTGTATTTCTGGATCTGGGGTACTTACTTGGGATGATTTTTTTGCTAGTTCCATCCATTTATCTGCAAACTTTATGATGTCATTTTTTAAATAGCAAAGTAATACTCCATTAAGTAAATGTACTACATTTTCTTTATCCATTCTTCTCTTGGGGGACATCTAGTTTCCAGTTTCTGGGTATTATGAATACAGCAGCAGTGAACACAGTTGAGCAAGTATCTCTGTAGTCGAATGAAGCATCCTTTAGGTACGAGAGAGGTATAGCTGGATCATGAAGTAGGTCAAGTTCCATCTTCCTGAGGAATCACCACAGTGATTTCTATAGTAGCTGTACAAGCTTGTACTCCAACTTGTTTTGTCGACCTTAGCTATGCTAACTGACAGGTCTAAGATGAAATCTCCAAGTATTTAGATTGTCATTTCCATGATGGCTAAAAATGCTGAACATTTCAAGTCTTCTCTGTCATTTGAGTAGCCTTTTTTGATATTGTGGGGTTTTTTTTTTAGACAGTTTCTATGTGTGTAGTAATGGCTGTCCTGGAACTTGTTCTGTAGAACAGGATGGCCTCAAAATTAGAGATATGCCTTCCTCTTCCTCCTAAATTCTGGGATTAAAGGTGTGCACCAACACCTCTCTATAGCCCACTTTTTAATTTTGTTATTTTTTCTTGATATTTAGGGGTTTTTCTTTAGTTCATTATATATTTTGGATATTAGCCTTCTATTGAACTGTAGTTGTTAAAATTTTTCCCATTCTGTAGGCTGCTTCTTTGTCTGAAATATGGTGTCCTTTTCTGTGTGGAATCTTCTCAGCTTCATGAGGTCCATTTATTGGTCTCACTGCCTGTGCTATTGGTGTTCTGTTCAGTGTCTTTTTCTGTGCCAGTGAATTCAAGGTTGTTTCCCACTTTCTCTTCTATCAGGTTCAGTGTATTGAGTTTTACATTAAGGTATTGATCCATTTGGAGTTGAGTCTATTTGAATTCTTCCTCATGCAATCATCCAGTTTGACCAGCACCATTTGTTGAAGATGCTGTCTTTTTTCCAGTATATATTTATGGCCTTTTTATAAAAACTCAGGCACCCATAGGTGTGTGGACTTATGTCAATTGGATTGCATTGATCAATGTGTATCTAATAAGAACAATACCATGCTGTTTTATTACATAAATTATTATGTAGTAATATGTTATTATATATAGCTCTATAGTACAGCTTGAAATTGGGGGTGGTGATACCTCCAACAATTATTTGATTATTCAGAATTGTTTTAGCTGTCCTGTGTTTTTTGAGTTCTATATGAAGTTGAAAATTCTCCTCTAGAGATATGTGAAGAATTTTGATGGAATTTTAATGAAGGTTGCATTGAATTTGTAGATTGCTTTTGGTAAGTTGGCTATTTTTACTCTATGAATTCTACTGATCCATGAGCATAGAAGATCTTTCCATCTTTTGATATCTTCTTCAACTTCTTTCTTCAATGTCTTAAAGTTTTTATCATACAAATCTTTCAGTTGCTTGGTTAGAGTTAGCCAGATATATTTTATATTATTTAAGGCTATTGTGGAAGGCGTTTTTCCCTTGATCTGTTTATCATCTGTATATAGGGGGTCTGATGGGTTTTCTGAGGTAATTTTGTAACCATCTACTTTGATGAAGAAGTTTATCAGCTATAGGATTCTGATGGTGGAATTTTTAGAGTCATTTATATATGTTGTCATATCATCTGCAAATAAAGATATTTTGACTTTTTTTCCTTTTCAATTTGCATCTCCTTGATCTTCTTGAGTTGTCTTCTTTCTCTAGCTAAAACTCCAAGTTCTATATCGTATTGACATGAAGAGAGGGGACAGCCTTGTCTTGTCTCTGATTTTAATGGAATTGCTTTGTGTATCTCTTCATTTAAGTTGATGTTGGCTATTGGCTTGGTGAACTGTCAACTGCCTTTATTAAGTTGTTATGTCCCTTGTATCCCTAATCTCTCCAGGAGTTTTATACTGAAAGAATGTTAGATTTATGTCAAAGGCCTTTTCTGTATCTAGTTACATGATTGTGTGGCTTCTATTTCTATCTGTTGAAATAACTGCTTCTATTTCTATCTGTTTAAATTCCTTATTTGGTCTTGATTTAACATAGGTAAGTGGTACCTATTGAGAAAACTATCAATTTCTTTTAGTTTCACCAGTTTGGTGGGTACTATGTCCTTATGATTCTCTGGATTTCCTCAGCATCTTTTGTTATAACCCCTATTTAACTTTTAATTTTATTAATTTGGATATACTTTCTCTGCGGTGTGGTTAATTTGGATAAGAGTTTGCCAATTTTAATTGACTTCCTAAAAGAACCAACACTCTGTCTTATTTATGGTTTCTATTGCTGTGAAGAGGCACTATGACCACAACAACTCTTATGAAGAAAACATTGGGTCTGGCTTACAATTCAGAGGTTGAGTCCATTATCATCCTGGCAGGAATGGCAGAACACAGGCAGACATGGTGCTGGAGAGGTAGCTGAGAGTGCTACATCTGGATTGGCAGGCAGCAGGAAGAGACGACAGACAGACAGACAGACACTAGACCTGTCTTGAACATCTGAAACCTCAAAGTGCCACCCCATTGACTGACTTCCTCCAACAAGGCCGAGCTTCCTAATAGTGCCACTCCCTATGAGCCTATGCAGACCATCTTCATTCAAACTAACACATCTTTGTTTCCTTGATTCTTGGATTTTTTTCCAGGGCTTTTTGTTTGTGCATTTATATTTTACTGATTTTAGCACTGAGCAATTATTTCTTGCCATCTTCTCCTTTGGGGTGTGATTTCTTCTTGTTCTGGAATTTTCATGTGAGTTATTAAGTTACTAGTATTATATGTCCTCCAGACTTTAACACAACTGATTCTATGATGAAAGTATCATTTAGGACATAAAACTCAGCATGTGTTTTAGTTAAGGCTTCTATTGCTACAACAAAACACCATGACAAAAATAAAACAAGCTGGGGAGGGAAGGATTTATTCAACTTCCACTTCCATGTTGCTGTTCATCACTGAAGGAAGTCAGAACAGGAACTCGAGCAGGAACCTGGAGGCAGGAGCGGATGAAGAGGACATGTAGGAGTGTTGATTTCTGGCTTGCTTCCCCTGGCTTGTTCAGCCTTCTTTCTTACAGAACCCAGGACCACCAGCCCAGGGCTGGTACCATCCACCATAGGCTGGGCTCTCTCTGATTGATCACTAATTGAGAAAATGCCTTACAGCTGGGTCTCATGGAGACATTTCCTCTTTGAGGCTCCTTCCTCTCTGATGTCAAGTTGACACTCAAAACCAATCAGGACAGCATGTTAATTACACCACCTGCCAAAATGAAAATGAAGACCTAATTCATCAAAATCCATAGTTCTGGGAAAGCGTCTAAATGTACTAATCTTGCTTTTCAGTTTCTGTAGATCTGCTTCGGGCTAACTGCTCTTATTACATGAAGTATGGATATGGTTTTTTGTTGTTGCTGCTGCTGTTTTTGTTTTGTTTTGTTTTTCTTCTGTGCTTAAAAACTCACGCTGTGAAAGGCAGTGGCAGGCAGATCTCTGTGAGTTTGAGGCCAGCCAGGTCTACAGAGTGAGTTCCAGTACAACCTCCAAAACAATACAGAGAAACCCTGTCTCGAAAAACCAAAAGAAAGAAAGAAAGGAAGGAAGGAATAAAGAAAGAAAAAGAAAGAAAGAAAGAAAGAAAGAAAGAAAGAAAGAAAGAAAGAAAGAAAGAAAGAAAGAAAGAATCAGGCTACACTGGGCTCCATAATACCCAGTGTAGTTTCTGGACAGCTAATAAAGACTTTCTATTGGCATGTAGTCTTCACTGGATACCCCACAACATTTCTGGAGGCCCCAGTGAAATCCCCGGAGACCAAAATATCAGGTCCCAAAGAAACCAGGGACAAATGCCAAGTGTGGTGCCTATTAGCACACCAAAAGCACATACTGTCCTCTAGGCTCTCTCTACATTGCAATAGCCTGTTACAGAGTCCTGGCTCCCTCAGCTCTTCTCACCCTGCCCCTTATCCTTTTCCAGCCCAGAGGCTTTGCTTCTCTTCCCCCACCTTCTGATCCCTACGAAAACCTGCTATGTTGGCCATGCACCCTCTTGGTCCTTCTTTCTTCCTCTATTCCCCTCTTTCTCCTCTCATGGCCCAGTTATGTCTGCTGACCATGCTTGCTCTACTACTTTGTCTTGCTGCTCTGGACTCTTCCAGATGTCTCCCTCATGTCTACAATAAAACAAAATCCCTTCTCCTTAATCATACCTTGAAGTGGTCATGTTCTCTTTTCGTTCACAGACCCAAGACACTGCGGGTCTCAGATCCACTCTGAGGGAGGAAGAGTGGTCAGAGGACTCCTAGGGGATGAGAAAACTGACCATGGCCCCAGGAATCCCTGTGGTCAACTGCTGCCTAATACTTCAAAGGAGTCTGACACATCTACCCCAAAGGGAAATCAATTAGAAAGGCACCTGGTCTGTCACCTCCAAAGGTAAATCTGGTAAGGCGCCCTCTGTTTGGAACACAAAGGGAAGGCTGGATGTGGCCACTGATGCAGTGTCCAGGTTCAGGTGGGACATCGCTAAAACTCCCACCCCAGGTTCTTTCAGGTATATGACTGTATGGTGGCCACCCCTGGTTGACTTTACTGTGTGTCTCTCCTTGTGTCTGTCTTTGTGTCGATTCTGTTCCCCTGTGGCTTTTTCTGGTGTGAGACACCCCAACTCCAAGGACTCCTCCCCTCACCAACTTAAGAACTATGCCTTCTTGTTGGGGACTCAAATCCTTCTGGCTCTACCCGGTCACCCAGAGAAACCAAAAACAAAACAAAACAAAACAAAAAAACTTGCATCTGTCCCACAAGTGGATTGCTCTCTTTACTTCTGCTCAAGGTCTAGATAGGTTCCTGTCCCTGTGTAGAGGTGGGGAGAGGCCAGGCCTATTATCTAGGGTCCACGGCCATCTCAGAGGGATGCATACAGGGAAAGGAAAATAGTTCCCCAAGAGGAAAAAGGGGAAATTCTATTCATTCCTCTTTCATGATTTATTTTCAGCCACTGTTCCATGTAATTGGAAATCTCAAAACCTACCACTGTGTGGAAAAAAAGGAGAAATCCATGCTGTGGATAAGTGCTGGGGGTATGTGAGAGTTGATATCTCTGTTGCACAATGCAGTCTGGATAAAATGGATTTTTCCTTCTGTCCAAAACTGACCTAGGATACTTTAAACAATTTTTGCTTGGTCCTTTTTAGAATTTTTACCTGCTAAAAATACTTTCCCTGTCACCTAGTTGGTCGCAGAAATTAGAAAAATAGTTATAAAAGTCAGAAAATGTGCTGGTGATAGCTCAAAAGGTGTTCAACAATGGAGAACTACCGTGGTGTATCTGCCACACTGTGAACCATGAGATTATATTATTTAAATACAATCAACTGGCTGGAAGTACCATAGAGAGTGAGGAAGTTGAGAGGTGGGAGAGAGAGAGAGGCACAGGAAGTAGAGGGGAGGGACATCTGGTTGGAGGAGTTTTGTTTCAGACAGTCTAGGAGAGAGCTCTCTTTCTAAGATGACGGTGGAGGAGGGAGGTCAGCTGGCTGCTTTCTCTGCCTCTCTGAGTTAGCAAATTTTCACCCCAGCTCTGGCTCCCAAGTTTTTATTGGTGAAATAGAGTGATAGAGATTTAGTTATGATATAGGAATGATGAGATAAAAGGATAGATTATTGAATCTAATACAAAAAAATTAATCTCAAAATATTTTACATTGATGTGGATTTTAACTTATTGATACAAATTTAAAATTAATTTTGTTATACTGTACATATGTTTCTACTCCTGTTAAGGTATTATGCTTATACAGCTCATTTTAACATGTAATGTGTAGTTACAACATACAGATTAATAGTCATCTATAAAAATCAAACTTATAGTCATGTTAAGTATGTTTTCAAGGTCATACACAAATATATTTAAGTAGATAGATAGTCTTCAAAGACTTCAAAGTTGAAGTGTTGAAGAATATGACATTTATTATATTTAATAGCCTAAGGCTTTTCATGACAGTAAGACACATCTGCTCCTGACAGCACCAATCTGCTTCAGATGAGATGATGGGCATCAAAGAAACTCACTATGGAGTTTACTTTCTTTATGACAAAAGCTAGACATTTGGGCAAGAAACTACCGTTGCTTCAACTGCTGACAATATATAGTTCAAACTGGACCAGCAGGATGCAAAAGAAAGTGACTGTCAAACTTTACCTAGACGGGGTAGGACAGTCCTTCAAAATTTCCTGCTTCTCTGAAAATTCTGTCAGGTATACTAGGCCTGTAGGCCAAAAATGGATGCCCCAACATTACAGAAGAACTTTGGTGACAGTGACTGTCCAGGCAGCCAGATGTCCCTGTCATTAGGTAATATTTCACCCTTCTGGGTCTTTGATGGAGTTAAAGACTAGATAGTCATAGTCAAAATTTTTTACTTAGTTCTTTTTTTTTTTCAAAACATGGTTTCTCTGTGGCTTTGGAGGCTGTCCTGGAACTAAGTCTTGTAGACCAGGCTGGCCTCGAACTCACAGAGATCCATCTTCCTCTGCCTCCCCAGTGCTGGGATTAAAGGTGTGTGCCACCACCGCCCATTTACTTAGTTATGATAAAAGGTAAATTAGGTATAAAACTTTAGACTCACAAAGATAAATAATAGAGTATTTTCTCTAAATTTGCCAAATACAAATGGACTGGATATCGTAACTGTAATTCTTACTTAACAACTGTTTTTTGTTGTATTTACTATGTTAAAAATTAAAGCTTTCCTTTTTTAATTATACAAAAAGGGGGAAATATGTAATATTCCTTTACACTGTGTGAATATATGTCACTGTGATTGGTTTTTTTTGTTTGTTTTTTTTGTTTTTTTTTAGTTTTTCGAGACAGGGTTTCTCTGTGGCTTTGGAGGCTGTCCTGGAACTAGCTCTTGTAGACCAGGCTGGTCTCGAACTCACAAAGATCCGCCTGTCTCTGCCTCCCAAGTGCTGGGATTAAAGGCGTGCGCCACCAACGCCCGGCCTGTGATTGGTTTAATAAAGAAGTTGACTGGCCAATAGCTGAACAGGATAAAGTTAGGTGGAAAAACCAGACTACGGACACTGGGAAGAAGAAGGGCAGAGTGAGAGGAGTCAGCAGTCAGACACAGAGAGGAAACAGGAGATGCACATGGAAGAATGCAGATTAATATAAATGAGTTAATTTATAATATCAGAGTCAGCTACTAGCCAGCCTGAGCTACCGACTGAGCATCTGTAATTAATAACAAGTCTCTGGATGGCTATTTGAGGGCAGCTGCCGAGACACAGAGAAATTCTGCCTACATTAAAATTAAGGTTTTATTGGGTCCGTGGTCCTTCCACTCCATACCCCTCTACCTCTTCCTGAGTCTTATGTTTGGTATGAATACAGGGTCCTGATCCAACCTCCACCACCCCTAAGCCTGGACCTGAAAACTAATGAAGACAGTTATAGGAGAGGTGATGGGTATCAAGACTACAACTCATATTCATCTTGATCTTTACTCACTGATGCCCACTTTAAATGTCTGGCTGTATTAGGGAAAGGAAAGATGTGGGCATTTATCTTTTGAGATAAAAATATAGAGTTTACAATACTATAAGCACTCCCTGTGACTGGGCCCACTAATCACCAAAAACAAGGGAATTTCCATTGTAAAAACTAGGATTGTGAAACAGAACCTTTCTGAAAGCAAATGGACACACACACACACACACACACACACACACACACACACACACAGGAAATGTAACCTCTTGGCCATAAGTTAAAGGTCTAAAAAATTCCTTCAATATTCTGGCTTTGGGAAGTAGGGAGAACCTGATGAATCAGACTCTATGCTACAGGAAGGGCCTCTGGAGATAGACTTACTACCTAGAAAAAAACTGCCCCCAGGCTCCCAGACCTTTGGGTCTCAACAAAGATCTCCTCCCTGGGCCAAGGTTCCACCCACCTCTCCCCTTCAAAAGCATTTACCACAGCTGGGTCAGAGTCCCACCTTTCAAGTTAATCAATCTCATCTAGAAACTGGCCAAGATTGCTGGTTATGCTTACACCCCTGACCTTCATACTACACAAGGGTAGGAACTAACCAGACTGTCAGTCCACTCAAGGAGGGAGATGAGGGAGAAGAGAATGATGTAATATAACTATATTTTAATTAAAAATAAAATTTAAAAGATTGTGTGTGTGTGTGTGTGTGTGTGTGTGTGTGTGTGTGTGTGTGTGTATGTAGACAAGCACAGTGGATGCAGGTACCCACGGAGGTTGAAAGTTGTTGATCCCCTGGGGCTGGCCATTGCAGCAGGTAGTTGTAAGCCACCTGATGTGTGTGTCTTCTGAAAGAGCCACAAACACTCAATTTCTGAGTCATCTGTCTAGCCTCTCCTAAAATGTCTTATTGACACTTATTTTGTTCTTCAAAAGCCATTCCCAACTAACTGAATCGAAAAAGTGAATCCTGAAATTCCCCCAAACTTTTAGTCACTCCAAAATTAGGACTACAGAGCAGAACAAATGATAATGACATGAACTAGGATTTTATACTCTAAATCAATACAATCACTGGTCACTGCAGAGATAACTGCTTTATGTATCAGGAGCTAGTGGTCAGACAGAGAAGTCCTTTCTCATATCAAGGCAGCACTGTGTTACTAAAACCAAGATCTTTTTAATCTGTACTGTAATTTAGACTTTCTTATATAATAGGAGCTAAGAGTAGGCCAGGCATGGTGGCACACGCCTTTAATCCCGGCATTCTGGAGGCAGAGGCAGGCAGATCTCTGTGTTCCAGGACAGTTTGGTCTACAGAGTGAGTTCTAGACAAGCCAGGGCCACATATTGAGACCATGTCAAAAAAAGAAAATATAATAATCTGTCATTCTTACCTTGCACTTGGTATTATCTTAATTTCATTGAAAATATACAAACACGTGACTTAGATACCTTGATTATCCCTGTCTTACAGATGAACTGAAGTTTTAATTAAGCTTACAAGTGAAGTATGTAGCAAAGCCACCCTAGTTTAGACACTGAGGTTTTTGTTTGTTTGTTAAACAGGTGCTTATTCTGTAACCCATCTTGGCCTTGAACACCCAATCCTCCTGACTCCTTCCCTGAATTCGGGGATTATGGACCTTTGTCATCATACCTGTGAGACTGGGTTCTTTCTTGTTTCTGTGCATGAGTGCAGACAAATATTCCACTGTATGCACGTGGAGGTCAGAGGACAACTGTCTAGGGTTGGTTCTCTCCATCCACCTGCCCAGAGCAGGGTCTCTCTTGCTGTTCCTGTTATACAGTGTACTTCAGGCTAGCGGGCCCATGAGCTAGGGATGACAGGACTTTGTATGAATGCTCCAGTTACAGAGGAACACCATTAGTGCACCTTTTTAAAAATAACTTAGGTCATCATGAAAATGCTTTTACCCACTGAGCCATATTGCAGACCAAGACTGAGTTCTTCTGTTTGTTTGCTTTTGGCTTTTCATTTTTTATTTTTATTTTTATTTTATTTATTTATTTTTGGTTTTTCGAGACAGGGTTTCTCTGTGGCTTTGGAGGCTGTCCTGGAACTCGCTTGGTAGTCCAGGCTGGTCTCGAACTCACAGAGATCCGCCTGCCTCTGCCTCCCGAGTGCTGGGATTAAAGGCATGCGCCACCAACGCCTGGCTGGCTTTTCATTTTTTAAAGACAGAAAGAGTCTCACTACGTAGATCACGCTGGCCTTGAACTCATGGAGATCTGCTGGCTTCTGCCTCCTGAAAGCTGGAATTAGAGGCATTCACAACCATGCCTGATGAGATTGAGATTTTTGTTTTAGTTTAGTTTGATTTATTGAGACAGAGTTTCTCTGTGTTGTCTTGGCTGCCCTAGAATTTTTTTCTTTCTTCTTTCTTTCTTTTTTTTTTTTTTGTTTTGTTTTTGTTTTTGTTTTTCGAGACATGGTTTCTCTATATTGCTTTGGAGCCTGTCCTGGAACTTGCTCTGTAGACCAGGCTGGCCTCAAACTCACAGAGATCTGCCTGACTCAGCTTCTGGAGTGCTGGGATTAAAGACATGCACCACCAACGCCCAGATATGGAACTCCTTCTATAGATTAGGCTAGCCTGGAACTCAGAGATCTGCCTGCCTCCACCTTCCAAATGCTGGGGAGGCAGAGACAGCCAGCCTGGTCTACAGAGCGAGATCCATTACAGCCTCCAAAACAATACAGAGAAACCCTGTCTCGAAAAACAAAAAAAAAAAAAAAAAAAAGAGCTGAACAGCCAAGCCAATAGCTAGGCATGATTTCCAGGCACAAAGAATGCTGGGAAAAAGAAGGGCAACTTTGCGAGGAGACACCAGGGATGCAGAGCAAGCAGCACATGCTTTACAAAGTAAAGGCAATCAAGCCCTTTAAAAGCATACAGTAAAAGATATGGGTTAAGTTATAAGAGCTAGCTAGAAACAAGCCTAAGCTATCAGCCAAGCTTTCATAATTAAGAATAAGTCTCCATATCATTATTTGGGAGCTGAAGTTGGGGACAAAGAAAGACAAGCAGGCATTCAAAATGGTTAGATTATATAGGGAAGAGCACCCAAGCTCCCTGGGCTGGAGAGTTCAGGGTAGGGCTTGGGTGTGCCAGCCAGGATGACTCTGCTTTGATACATTAAATAGGCACCGCATCTGTTTGTCACAGTTTGATACCTAGCTAAGGGCATGCATCACCAAACCTGGCTAAAATTGAGTTCTTAACTACTACACTTTATAATAGTTTGAGGTTTAGTTATTGCCAACAAGCATAGCTATCCAGGATTTAAAATGATGGAGAAAGGTTAATGATTCGATACAGGGAAAGGTTTTGTTGTTGCTGCTGTTTTTACAACAAATACCGTGTTTCAAGGCAGAATAATGAGGATAACAATTTAATTAAAGTTATTATATGATCCCTAATAATTGTGTTTGAGAGGCCAAAGTTGCACAAGACACCTAATGTGCTTAGAATCATTTGTCATTGTCCTGGTTAAGGTTTTGTCAACTCCATATAAGCTAGGGTCATTCGGAAAGCAGGAACCTCAACCGAGCAAATGTCTCCAGCAGACTGGTCTGCAGGCAAGTGTATGGGGGCTCTGTCTTGATGATTCAAGCTGAGCATGACCTTAACATGGCGGTGTATATAGTGACGGGAATTGCACCCAGGGCTTCTGCGACACTAGCAAGCACTCTATCAACTTAGCTACATCCTTTGACCTGCTTGTTTCTTTTCTGAGACAGGTATCAGCAAACAAGAAGAACTGGCCTGATATTCCTACCGTCTCTGCCTCAGCCACCGAAGTACAGTACTCAGTGCAATGTTACAATGATAACAGAAACTCGGTATTATTTATTCTGTAAAACTACATTATTGCATTTCTGTAGTGTTTCAATTCTGGGGGCAAGCATGTGCATCCGTGTGGCTACATGTGTATCCGTATGTTTCAGGTGGACAAACCATGGCTCTAACATTAAAAGATTGCTACTTTAAAATGTCCACACTAAAACCCTTTAACTCATTAGGCTCAGTGCCCGCAGGAACTCACTAAAGGCGCTTATATGTTTCTCCTTCCAGTCCTAGGAAAACGAGCAGTCATATAAATTCACACTTTCTTACAATGCCACAGTACTATTTCTGAAGGCCTACCAGGTGGGTTAGGAAGATCCCTAGGCGGATCCAGATGAAAAACTGTAAAAAAGAACAGAAATCCAGAAAGTGGCTGCTTTAGTGCGGATCTCCCCCGAAATCTCGCTGGAGAGCGGCTCTCCACCGCGCGTTTCCGCCTTTGCTGGCTCTAGTTCCGATCTCAGGCCTTTCTCTCGCTTCCTCCGCCGCTAGGGCGGGCCGGAACTATTGTCATCCGGAACCGGTGTAAGCAGTTCCGTGTTGCCGACCGGCGTCTAGGCGACGACGGCGCTGCTCTCTCCCTCCGGCTGCGGTCGCTGCGGACCTCAGCCAGCCAGTGTGGTTGAGGAGCACGGCCGGCTGGACTGGGTCTATGGTGGCTCCGTGGGCCGCTCTGCTGGCTGGTGCTTTTGTATCGGGGCAGGCAGTATTCCATGGCAGGGAACTTCTGGCAGAGTTCCCACTAGTGAGTGAGCTTCCGTTTGCTCCCGCGGGACCGCTTCTGGGGGCGAGAGGGGGACTGGGGCTTCTGGGGGCGAGAGGGGGACTGGGCCTGCGGCTCCCTACGGGCTGCCGCTCTTGGAGTGTGGGCGAGCCCTCCGGGGGAAACTGGGCGGCCTTGTTGGCCGGCCTCGGGGGCTGGGTGAGCCTGAAGGATGGGCAAGAGGACCGGTGTCCGATGGAAGACTGTGGCTGTGTGAATTTGGGGCTTAACTGTGAGCGGGATGTGTGGGTCCGGGCACGTTGTAGCGTTGTGAGGTTGCCTGATCCGGGCAGGTATGGCTGCTTTTGCTAGGTCTTGTTGAGAGCAACGACGTAGTAATTTCTTGTCATTCGCCTAGATTGTTGATCCGGTTTTTGTTTTGTTGTTTGTTTTGGTTTGGTGTTTTGGTTTTTTTTTTCCGCCTGCGGTTTCCTCCTGAGTCGTGGGATTAGATTAAAGGTGTGCGCCACCACTTCCCAGCTTCTTAATTGACGTTTATGCCCTTAGAATATAGATATAGCGCAGGTGCTGTCAACAGGTAACAGTTTTCATTCATTAGCCAGTGTCTTCCATTTTGCGTTAAAAGTGTGTATTTTTTTCAGATTTTATCTATTCCTTAAACCATTTAAATGAATGAATTCGGGTGCCTGCCCGTCAGTGGTCATGGAAGAGCTAAAGTAACATTTGAGACATTTCTCTCTAAATGCATTGGTTAAACGTGCAGCGAGGTTGTGTGACCGGGCTAAGCTTTGAGGAGGTTTTTCACTGAATATATAAAAACTGAATGGGACTTGATACAAGACATCGTAGTTTAAGTAAATCTTAGGATGAAGAAACTAACTGAAATTTTAGTTCTGTGAATTGAATTAGCTCCTTTTCCTCTTTACCCAAGAACGGGGAAAAAAGAAACTGAATTTGTTAACCTGTTTCCAGAAAGCATGTTTTCCCTTGATACAAAGTGATTTTAGGGAGCATCACTATGCGACATAGTATTTCTCGTTGTTTTTAGTCACCGAGATGTTTTAGATAAAGTTGGAGCCTGTAATCCTGGTACTTGGGTACTGCCCTCATCAACTGTCTCAGTGATGTAATACTGGAGCAGACAGTAAGTCTTTAGATATAGTAAGAGTCTGTCTTTGAGGAAGGGCCTTTGTATAAAGGGTAGGAGAACCTGGGTGCTGGTTCTTTGTGCGAATGACAGTATGAAGGAAATCCAGAAAGAGGTAGAGAGCCTTTGAAAAACATCAAGAGATTCTCTTTTGTCTTGTTTTGTTTTTCAAGATAGGGTTTCTCTGTGTAACAGCTCTGACTGTCCTGGAACTCACTCAGTAGACCAATCTGACCTCAAACTCACGGAGATTCCCCAGTCTCTGCCTCCTGAGTACTGGGATTAAAGCCAATCCTTTGCCTTCAAGTTCTCTTGGGTTTTTTTTGTTTTGTTTTGTTTTGTTTTGTTTTGTTTTTTCCCTGCTGAGACTATGTGAGCTGCTGAAAAGCTAGAGAAGCCAGATGAGTAACTCCCCTGAGAGTTTAAAATGACATCCATAGCATCCTTATTTATGACCAGGCAGAAAGAGAGTCAAACACAAAAGACTGACACAGAATTATCTGAAGATAGTCAGCAAAGCCCTGACAAGTAGTGTCAAGAACCAAAGGAATTAAATTGGTTTACCAACAAGATTGTGAAACTTGAGGGATGATAGTGAAAATTCTGGTGGAAAAAAAAATCTCATTAGAAAAATGTTTAATTTCCTCTCAGGCTGGGCAGTGGTGACGCACACCTTTAATCCCAGCACTCTGGAGGCAGAGGCAAGCGGATCTCTGTGAGTTCCAGGACAGCCTGGTCTACAAGAGCTAGTTCCAGGACAGCCTCCAAAGCCACATGGAAACCCTGTCTCGAAAAACAAACAAGCAAACAAAAAGGGATGTACCTCCAAAAAAAAGAAGAAGAAAAAGAAGCTGGGTGTGGTACCACATGCCTTTAATCCTAGCAGTGATGGGGGTGGGGTGTTGTTGACAGGTGGATCTCTGCGTTTGAAGCCAGCCTGGTCTACAGAGTGAGTTCCAGGACTAACCCTGTCTCAGAGGAGAAAAGAAGGAATGTACTTCTTAGAATATGATCAGCTTGTTAAATCTTAAAGTTTTAGGTGCTTTTGCTTGTTGGTTTTCTATACTGTGTTTTATCTTCCTTGCTTTTTCCAGTTTGCAGTGGATTTTGGATAAACAAGATCTGTTGAAAGAGCGCCAGAAGGACTTAAAGTTTCTCTCAGAAGAAGAGTATTGGAAGTTACAAATATTTTTTACAAATGGTAAAGTTTTAAGTTGGTTGAAGTAGTATAGTATAGCTGGTCACCTTTGAGATTCTTTTATGGTTATTTTCAGTGGATTATTACAGTCTGTAGTTAATGCTTTTGTTTATACATTTATCATTTTAGTGTGCTGGGTGACACTTTTTGCACTTTATGTGTTGGAAGCACAGTGTTAGCTAATCTCCTTGGGTCTTTCTAGTGCAGCCCCTTTTAAGGTTGGTTAAGACAAAGTAAAAATAAATTAAATTGACATCCTGTAGTTGTCATTTTTACCTTATAATTTTACATTAGCAAGAAGGGGGTTTAATCAAGAGACCTTTACTGTGCTAGGATACCTTTGTTGCCTGGTATTTTTTAAAATAAATTTTATTTGTTTGTGTATGGGTATTTTATGTATGAATATTTTGCCTGCATGTGTATCTGTGCACTATATGTTATATAGTATTGAGGAGACTTGGATCCCTAGGGACTGGAGTTACAAATGATTGTGAGCCACCATATGGGTGCTGGGAATGGAACTTGGGTCTTCTGCAAGAATAGGACTTTTTATGTAAATAATATGAGAAGCATTAAAAGAGGAATATTTGATAGTCAACCTCCTTATAGCAAGATAATTTGTAGGCAGTTTCTTTTTCTTGTTTATGCATGTTGCTATATTTGCAAGTCTTAGGCAGCTGTGGTTCAGGGGTGTCGTGGAGTACTGAGCTATGAGTGGACATAATTGTAACATGTAGAAATTACTGTTAAAAGTTAATATTATTAATGTTATAATGGTGCCAGATGATACACTAAATTTTTATTATTTCCCTTTTAGTTATCCAAGCATTAGGTGAACATCTTAAATTAAGACAACAGGTTATTGCTACTGCTACAGTCTATTTCAAGAGGTTCTATGCCAGGTATGACTGTTTTATTTATTTATTTATTGTTAGTCTGTTTGAGATTTCTTTTCTAATTTCCATATGCCATATATAAGTAAGTCACTTGTTTGCTATATAGTTATGATTCCCCGATCACCCAGTATGTCTTCCAAATGGACATAATTTAACTCTTGTCTAACCATGTTTTAGGTATTCTCTGAAAAGTATCGATCCTGTGTTAATGGCTCCTACATGTGTGTTTCTGGCATCCAAAGTAGAGGTATAAAACAATTTTTTGTTCTTCATCAAAATATAATCGTTATGTACGGTTAATTTTTTATATTGCCTTTGTATAGAAAATCATAGGTGGAAATTTATATAAGATAATATATACATGTTAAGAGAAGGTTTTCTTTGCTAGCTGCTGTGGTTTATCACCTGCCAGTCACCTGGGCTCTGCCGAGTTGTAGTCCCCAAATAACACACAAGACGCTGTATTAATTATGAAGCTGTTGGCCTTGCTTGTTTCTTACTGGCTAGCTCTGACTTAAGTAATTACCCCATAATTGTTAATCTAAGTATTTCTCTTACCGGAGAATAGTTCCGGGCTTCCTACCCCATGGCGGTTACATCTCGAACTCCTCTTGTTTCTCCTACCCAGAGTCCTCCTGGACTCCTAGTCCCTCCTATCTAGATTCCCTATTGGCCAGACAGTACTTTATTGACAAATGCACAGGACTTCCCCAACATATACATCTTACAAGTTATTTTATATATTTAATAAATATGGCACTTACTATGTATCAGATGCTTTAATGAGACTGTAAGTTTTTGTTTAATCCTATAACTGTGGAGTATATAGCAGTAGGGTAAAAGGGCCTTGACCTTGACTTGATCTCAGACCAGAGCCAGGGAGAGAACACCCTGACTCTGATTTGACACCAAGCCTGAGACCAGAACCAAGAAAAAGAATCCACCAATCCTTGAACTTGCACAAAATCAGGCCACAAAAATCCCACCAATCCCATGCTACCCTGGAAGTCTCTGTTCACCAAGAAACTCTATATAAAGCCTGCCTTCTACTCAGTTCCCTACTGTTTGTCATCTAAGTAGAGGCAGCCACCCTCCTGGGTTCTTCCCTCCCAATAAATCTCTGTGTGAAGTTTGTTGTGCAGAGTGACTTTGTGGTATGCTTGGCTCCTGACTGCCAGGATGCCGTTCCCTGCATACATGAGACGCTTCCATAGGGGAAGCCTTTCCTCTCAGAGCTGTAACGCTTACATCCCGTTTTATAAATGAGGAAAGTAAGGCATAGAGCAGGCTGGCCTCAAACTCCCAGAGATCCTCCTACTAGGATTAAAGGCATGTACTGACACTGCCCATCTTAGATTACAGGTGATTTGATTTTTTGTTTGTTTGTTTTTTGTTGTTTTTCTTTTGAGACAGGGTTTCTCTGTACTGTTTTGGAGGCTGTCCTGGAACTCTCTCTGCAGAGCAAGCTGACCTTGTACTCACAGAGATCCTCCTGCCTTTGCCTCCCAAGTGCTAGGATTAAAGGCATGTGCCACCAATGCCTGGCAGATTACAGATTTTTAATTAAAGGTATTTGAATAGTTTTAACTTCTTAAATAAAGGACCAATTCTTGCTTTTTCTATTTTTTTATAGTAAGTGAATGGTTTAGGATCTTAAGTGGTTTATCTGAAATTAAATGAGAATATATTTAAAGTACACTACATGATAGTATATCAGGTTGAAAAGGAAATAACTTACCTAAGAAGCCTTATATTTATTCCAGCTGCTTCATTCTTTCAGAATTGTGGGTAGTATCAGCATTTGTTTATTAATTGACTGGTTGGTTGACTACTTGTGCTAAGGACTGACATTCTTTTTTTTTTTTCTGAACATTCTTGATAAGCAAACCATATATTTCTGAGCTATACTCCAACCCAAATTATTGGAATTTTAAGAAAAGGTAATACATTTAGAGATTTAAATGCTTCATAGATTAAGTAGGTAGCAACTGAACAGACTGTAGACATGAGAGGAGCTTGGAAAAACTTTTTGAACAGATCTCAGATATCTCTAATATTTACTGGGTTAATAAGTGCTTGATCTCATTCACTTTTCTCTAGGAATTTGGTGTGGTCTCAAATACAAGATTGATCGCTGCTACTACTTCTGTGTGTAAGTGCAAAAGTGTATTCTGCTTGAAGGATGAAATCTAAAGAAGGCTCTGTAACATACAGATTTTGTTTTGTTTTGTTTATGACCCAAATGTAGGTGGATTTATTACAGCTCCAAAGAATATCCTTAGCTTGTTAGATGGGGGAAAAAAGTCTAAAAAGATGTTTTTTGCTGATGTAGAGTACAAATCTGTAATCTCAGTGCTTAGGAGGTAAAGGACATATTTTTGTTTTATGTGCATTGGTGTTTTGCCTGCATTGTGTGTCTGTGTGGGGGTGTCAGAAGCCTGGAACTGGGATTATAGACAGGTGTGAGCTGCCATGTGGGTGCTGTGAATTGAATCCAGGTCCTCTGGAAGAGCAGCCATTTGCTGAGCCATCTCTCCAGCCCCAAAATGTCTCTTGGATTTATTTTTACTATTTTATGTGTATGTATGTTTTGCCTGTATGTGTCTCTGTAAACATTTGTGCTTGGTGCCCAGGGAGGTGGTGAGCCTCCTTGTGGATGCTGGGAGTCGAACCCAGGTTCTCAGCAACAACAAGTATTCTTAACCCCAGAGCCAACTCTCCAGCCTAAAACACACGTTTTTACATTCATTATGATATTACTTTTTTTTTTGAGACATCATCTCATCTGACACATGGGCTCTTCCTGCTTTTACTTACCAAGAAGGATTGTTAATCTCCTGGTGAGATTATGGGTATGGGCTGCCATGCCTAGTTTAAAATAATCCTTTTCAGTGGTTAAAAAAAAATGAGCTGTGTTGATGGGAATTATATATTTTCAAACCTTCAAATTGTATGGTATAGAAAAGAGTGCTGAGTAGGTAGTCAGCTGAGTTCATTTTTGTTTGCTTTTTGGCATTTTGAGACAGGTGTGACTGTATAACCCTGTCTGTCCTGGAACTCAGAGAGCTCTGCCTCTTAAATGTTGGGATTAAAGGCTTGTCCTCACATCTAGTGACTCTTGTGTTTTTAAAGAATTATTTTTAATTACGAGTAGGTATGTGTTTGCATGTGGGTATGTGAATCCGTGTGTAGGTGCCCAAGGGGACCAGAGGCATCAGTCACCTGTAGCTGGAAGTACAGAGTGTGGACTTCCTGGTGTGGGTGCTGAGAATAAAATTCGGGTCCTCTAAAAAAGATCTTAACTGCTGAGTCATCTCTAACCCCAGTTAAGCCGACTTTTACTCCAGCCTGTCTCTCTATATTTGTGTCCATCCCTATTCAGTTACACAACCTTTAAAACAAGTTGCTCAACCGGGCGGTGGTGGCGCATGCCTTTAATCCCTGCAGGTTTGAGACCACCCTGGTCTACAAGAGCTAGTTCCAGGGCAGCTTCCAAAGCCACAGAGAAATCCTGTCTTGAAAAAAAAAACAAAACAAAAGCTTTAGGTTGGTTGGTTTGTTTTTAGACTTTTGAGACAGATACTCACTGTGTAGTCTTGGCTTGACTCATGGTTGTTCTCATGCCTCAGCTCCTAAATGCTGAGATTACAGGCATAACCCACACCATCTTTCTCCATTCACATCAATCCTTTTTAAATATGTATGTGTGTGTCTGCGAGCTTGTGCATGTGGTTTGCTGTGCACGCATGCATATTTGTATGTGGTGGGCATACATCCTTGTATATGTATACATGGCAAGACCCGAGGTTGGTGTATAGAATTATCCTTCATTTTTCTTCCACCTCATTTGTTGAGGCAGTGTGTCTCAGTTAAACTGGGAGCTTGCCAGTGTGGCTAGTGTTGTCACTTGCCTGGTTACTGTGGGCCTCCTGTCTCTGCTTTCTGAGGCTAGAGTCACAGATGACTGCCACACATGCCATTTGTGTGTCTGGGATCCAAACTGGTTTCCTCAAGCTTGTAGCAAGCACTTCAACTGCTGACACATCTTCCTAGACCACATCTTAGGCTTAAGAGTAGAATTTTGCTGGAAAAGTTTAATAACACCATTCTATGTTACCTTAATGATGCTTTGCATTGTTTTCTGGAAACATTTAATCTCTTTTCTCATCTGCAAGATGTAGAGTTACTATGAGGATAAAACCAGCATGTTGAACAATGCCTTGCTGTTTCTTTTCTAGGATTATTGTAGGATTATTATAGCAAAATACCTGATTGGATATTTAAACAGAAAGGGATTTTCTGAAAGTTCTAGAGTCTGAAGGTTCAAAAATCAAGACACCAACAAGTTTAGTTTCTCTTCTGGCCTTCTTGTTTTGGCTTTTATGGTCATTTTTTCATTGCTCTTTGTGTGCCTGCAGCTTTTCTTTCTTTCTTTCTTTTAAAGACTTACTTATTTTATACCTGTAAGTATCTTGCCTGTGTGTACACCATGCTGGTGCTGTGGAGATCAAAAAGAGAGTATTGTGTCCACTGGAACTGGACATAATAGTGGTAGCCATGTGGGTGCTAGGAACCAAACCTGGGTCCTCTGCAAGAAAGAGCAGTAAGTGCTCTTAACCACTGAGCCATCTCTACCCATCCCCCATGTATCTTCTGCAGCATATCATTAAAACAGGAGTAGTCAGGTGTGGTGACATATGCCTTTAGTTCTAGCACTTGGGACACAGAAGCAGACAGACCTCTGTGAGTTTGAGGCCATCCTGGTTTGTACATAGTGAGTTCTAGGACAGCCAGGCCTACATAGTGAGACCCAGTCTCTGGGGGAATTAAAAAGACAACAGACGTTTTGGTGCTGCAAATACCGAGTGAAGTAGTTTTATTTGTTGGCTTTTTTTGTTTCTTTGTTTTCTTTTATTTGATTTTTTTGAAGCAGTTTTAAAGGAAGGGTTCATTTTGACTCGTAGCTTCAGAAGTTTCTGTCTGCGATTTGCTGCTTCTGTCACTGTTAGGCCTCTGGCAAGGCAGAAACATCACAATACAGGGGTGTAACAGAGGAGAGTACTTACATCATGATGGCCAAGAAGCAGAAAGAGTGGAGGAGACTGGGGCTGAGAAGAATTTCTTGAGTGACAATCTGCCAGGGATCCACGTCCTCTAATTAGGCTCTACCACCTCCCATTTGGATGTTCAGTTATGACTCCATTAGTGTTGAGAAACTTCATCTTTCAGTGATTCAGTGAAATACCACCTGTCAGTGATTGCATTCTCCAGCTGTGGCTTAGCCTTCAACATGCCTCATGGGGATACTTTATGTCAAACCACATCAAGTACTCCTGTAGAATTACATCCTGCCCTTATGACTTAATTTAACCTTTACCCCTTTTTAAAAATGATTTATGTATGTGCTTTGGTGTTTGCGTCTGCGTGGTACATATGGGCACCTGAAGAAGTTAAAAAAAAAAGTGTTGCATTCCCAGGAGCTGTAGTCACGTGGGTTGAAAACTGAACTCTGGTCATCTGCAAGAGCAATGAGTGTTCTTAACCGCTAAGCCTCTCCATTGCTGCAAAGGTTTCTCCAGGTATAATCCCCTTCTGAGGTAGTAGGGATTAGGACTTAAGCAAGTAAATTATGGTTTTGTTGTAGTGTTTTTAGAGAGTTTTACTACATAACCTTGGAGAGATGGCTCAACCAGATGACCTGGGTTTGATCCCTAGGACCCATAATATGTTCTCTGAATTCCACCTTATTGGGTGTACATGTGTATGCATGCACAAACACAAGATAAATAGTAAATGTTTTAAAAATGTGGGTCTGGTGGTGGTAGTATATGCCTTTAATCCCAGCACTTGGGAGGCAGAGGAAGATGGATCTTTGAGTTCAAGGCCAGCCTGGTCTACAGAGTGAGTTCCAGGACAGCCAGGGCTCCACAAAGAAACCCTGTCTCAAAAAACAAAACAACAAAAAAAGTGGATCATATCATTTTGGTATTAAGTGGGATAGAAGCTGACTTCATAATGTAAATCTGATATCAATGGAGGTGTTAGGTGTCCAAGTCCAGGTTTAATGATATGTGTCAATTACAAACTTTCGAAACAGGATCTGGACCAAACTGACCTCAGACTCAGAGATCTGTCTACTTCCCAATTGCTGGGATTAAAAGCATGCACCACTATGCCAGTCCTGTATAGACATTATTTTACCTTGTTGAAATGTAATACATAAAATGCACAGACTTCGCCGGGCGTTGGTGGCACGCCTTTAATCCCAGCACTCGGGAGGCAGAGGCAGGCGGTTCTCTGTGAGTTCGAGGCCAGGCTGGACCGACAGCCTCCAAAACAGAGAAACCCTGTCTCGTAAAACCAAAAAAAAAAAAAAAAAAAAAAAAAAAGCACAGAATTCCTCTTAGTGAAGGAAGTCACTTGTACCAGTGGAAGAAATTATAAACCAGAGCTTGCTACCTTAATTGGTTTAAGTATTTGAACCTAAATGACTGGAGTACAGTTTTCTCAATAGTACTTAAGTGTGTGTATCTCCTGACTTCTTGAGATGATAGTTAACAGTGGTTTTTCATTTGTACTTTATTAGTGACTACAAATGGTAACTATGTTCTATAGGAAAATGACCTAGAGACTTTGCATGTATCATGATGCTTTTATTAAAATATGTTTTGATGAGGTGTGGTGGTGCATGCCTATAATACCAACCCAAGGCAGAGGCCAACAGATCTCTATTACCTTGAGGCCTGCCTAACCTACATAGCAGGTTCCAGGCTCCCCAAGGATTCATAATGATCCCTTGTCTCAGAATTGAAAAACCAATAAATTCATACATAAATCTATCTAAAATTGTGTCCTATATTCTTTCTAAGATAAATTACAAGCAGATAGAAAAACTTTAGAGTTGAAAAGATTTACAGATGATAGAATCTAGTGATTTTTTTTTCAGTCTTTTGATCCTTTAAAAAGCAATAGGAGCTTTTTCCTTTTCTTCCTCCTTTCCCTTCTTGGCTTTTCTTTCCCTTGGCTTCTCTTTCCCTGTCCTTCCCCTCCCCCACCTTCCCTCTTTCTTCCCTTTTCCTTTACTTTTCCAGTCATCTTGTCTGTACTCCCAAGTACTGGGAGGGCAGACACCCGGCCCATCCAGTATGAACCTTTTTTCTCTCTGAAATTGAAGCTCTCCAGTTGTGTGAGCAAGGGTGCTTCCTACCACTCAGCTTTGTCCTCCCTGAAAACAAAGCTCCGGGTTTTTTTAAGTATTTGTGAGAGTTCCTACTGCGAGTAATAAATACAGCATACCTTCTGACATTTTGTGCTACATTAAAGGCATTTTGAACAAATTTAATGTTGGCATTTTCTTGGTTTTAATTGTTTTGTTTTGTTTCTTATAGTAAAAACTAGATTTTCATATGCCTTTCCAAAGGAATTTCCTTACAGGATGAATCATGTAAGTATATTATATAAAGCTTTGTATTAACTTACTTTATGTTAGAACAAACATAGTCTCTTAGAAATGGAAGTTTCAAGTAATGTAAAACATAGACATTATTTTATATTAAAAATCTCAGTAACTTCTCTTTTTCTGGCAATACTTAACAATAGTGATTATTAATCTTGGATGCCAGTTAAATCACCTTAGGAAGTTTAGGAAGTTTTTGTTAGTTTTTTTGTTGTTGTTGTTTGAGACAGGGTTTGTCTGTGTAGATCAGGCTGGACTCTGATGCTGGAGTTAAAGGCAGGTGCCACATACTTGGCTCAAATTTAAACTTTTTAAGCTTTCTAACAGGATTTATTTTTTTAAGTCGAGAGAATTCTGGGGTCGTAGCTCAGTAGTAGAGTAAATGCTTAACATATTTGAGACTTTGGGTTCAGTTCCATGTTACTCCCATTCCCCAAAAGAAGAACATATGACATTGCCTTTTCCTTATAAGGATTTAAAACATGTAACAGTAAAGTGCTATTTTTTACCAGGACTCCATATTTGCTATTTACTTCTAGCACTCAGGAGACAGAGGCAGGCAATCTCTGTGTCATTGAGGCCAGCTGGTGTAGACAGTCAAACAAACAAAACTAGTAACTGTATTTTGCCTGGCAGTGGTGGCACACACCTTTGGTCCCAGCACTTGGGAGGCAGAGGCAGGTGATCTCCATGAGTTTGAGACCAGCCTGGTCTACAGAGCGAGTGAGAGGCTCCAAAGCTACACAGAGAAACCCTGTCTCAAAAAAAAAAAACAACAAAAAAACCCCAAACAAACCAAAAAAGAAAACATTATTGTGACTGTTAATGCTAATGTAAATTGCTGTGTTTATTTTCTTGTTTAGAAATTTTATATAAGACTGGTAAATTCTTTAATTTATCTGTGGAAGTTGTTACTTTAAACAAGGAATATTCGTATAATTATGCTTATTTGCACTGGATGATTTTTTTAACAGATACTAGAATGTGAATTCTACCTTTTAGAATTAATGGTATGTATATTTTTCCATAATACAGTAAAACTTAATTTAATGAGTTATTCTGAAGGGGGTAAATTTTAAATTTGTCTAAATGATATGTGATGTCAAAAATCATAGAACTATAATAGCTTTATCACCTGTTTTTTCCTTCTGAGGCCTGTAAAATAATTTGTATATCTTACTTGGGCTGGGAAATTTTTTTAAATTTTATATAGTTATAATAAGGATTACAAGCAAATAAGCCAGGAAGTTAAGCCACTGCAAACTGGGTGCACAATTTGCGTGGTGTGTGTGTGTGTGTGTGTGTGTGTGTGTGTGTGTACGTACGTATGTGTATGCAGAACTAAAGTCAGATGATGTCTTGGGCAGAGCTCTCCTCCATGGCGTTATAGGCTAGTGAGGGTGTCAGTGTGTTGCAGATGTGACACTTTGCGTCTCTAAGGGGAAGAGTGGATGCTGACTTGCTGCCAACTGATTTACCAAGGTGTATTCCAGAGAGAGCACTGCCTTCACTCTCACAGTAGCTCAGGTCGTATTTGAGTAAAAGAATAAGAAGGGAGAAGCAAGAGAAATTAGTTTGAAATACACAGAACAATTAGTTGGAAATGATAACGCTTTATGTTGTAATAATCTGCTTTTATACATACATGTTTTTAAACTGTTTCTAGGATTGTTGCTTGATAGTGTATCATCCTTATAGACCTCTGCTCCAGTATGTGCAGGACATGGGCCAAGAAGACGTGTTGCTTCCCCTGGCATGGTAACTAGAACAGAAGTTACTCATATGTAACCTGTTACTAGATAGGAGGGTTGACAACTAAATATGTGGTTTAGTAGTTTAAGTGCTTGTTAAATTTTAATAGCTATAGTGGTATAGAGTTATAAAGTCATATATATCTTGAATTACCTATTTGATAAGTATATCTGTTAATGTTTCAGATGGAAAACAAGACTTTCCATGAAAATTAAGAATGAAAATTTTCTCTCTCTCTCTCTCTTTTTTTTTTTTTTTTTTTTTTTGGTCTTTTGGTTTTTTTAAGACAGGGTTTCTCTGTAGCTTTTGAGGCTGGCCTGGAACTCACTCTGTAGATCATGCTGGCTTCAAACTCAGAGATTCGCCTGCGTCTGCCTCCCAAGTGCTGGGATTAAAGGCTTGCACCACCACCTGTAGAATGAATTTATTCTTAAAATAATACTTTTTGATTGGATTCAGTACAAATCCATTTCAAATAATGACTTTTTAATTTAACTTTTTATTTTTCACAAATATGAAGAACTTATTTTATATAACTTGTGATGAGGTCCCAACATCAAAAATATGCTCACTAGTACATTAATCCAGTGAGTGTATCTGTTGTCACATTCAGGCATCCATTATTTTGCTTCTGTTTTCATCTTTGTGACTCTTCTCAGTAATAGAACAGTGATGTAAATGCACAAAGATGGAAATCTGGCTCTGTCTGGGAGAAGTTACGTAATCAATGAAGTAGTTGTGCTGTTAGTAATGATAAGATTTACATTTCTACAGGAGAATAGTGAATGATACCTACAGGACGGATCTTTGTCTGCTGTATCCTCCTTTCATGATAGCTTTAGGTATGTAAATTTGGAGTGCCTTTCTTGGTTAAACTGTTTTTGCCTATTTAGGTCACCCTAAAACACATTCCGTCTGATTGTAATTTGTTTTTATGAAGTGGTAGACTAATCCTTTAGTGTGAGCTTTCAGTAATATGTACTACAACAGATTAGCGTTGCTGATCCTCAATCCCTTTTTTGATAGGTTCCCCCCTTAATTCATTTAAAACGTTTTAATCAGTACCTAAACAATGTTTTTGTTTGCTTAAAGGGAAAAATTTGGGTGTAAATCTGCTGTTACTAGTTGTCTTAAGTAACTGGTTCTGACTCCCATTTCTGGATCCAGTAAAAGCTCAAGTGCTCGCTTCGGCAGCACATATACTAAAATGGGAACGATACAGAGAAGATTAGCATGGCCCCTGCGCAAGGATGACACGCAAATTCGTGAAGCGTTCCATATTTTTATAAATTCCATGTAATTACCATTCAACACTTATCTTTTGGTCATAATGGTTCACAAAGAAATTAATCAAGCAAACAGTATTATAAACTTCAGTCAATCATTGCACATTTCTATTTAATATAATATTTATTTAATATAAATAAATGATGATAAAAAAAAAAGAAAGTAGCACCTGTGCTGCTGTTGCTAGGAGAAGTTAACTGGCATCCCACAGGGTGGAGAAGGCATGCAGGGATGGGCTAGAGTTAAGTAGACCACACTGAGACATGGCTTTCTCTACAGTTGTAGAAACAATTATGTAATTTTTCTGAGCTTGTAAAATTGTGGGAGGGATAATAACTTCATGAAGAATTGCTTCAAGAGCTAAGTGAAACAGCCTATAGAGCACCAAATGTCTGTTATATCCAAGGCACTTAATAGTTCCTGCTCCTTCTTTCTTCTCCTGTTGATTTTCCTGGCTCCTTTCTTATTAGTAGTAAGAATAGTAGAGGTCATACATGGGCTGTACTTAACACTTCTGCAGCACTGGTGACTCTTGTAAAGCACTGGACTTGGTAGTATTCTGAATTAGCGAAAATGATTTATCTATCTATTTATTTTGGTTTTTCGAGACAGGGTTTCTCTGTGTAACAGCCCTGGCTGTCCTGGAATTCACTTTATAGACCAGGCTGACCTTGAACTCAGAGATCCACTGTCTCTGCCTCCTGCTGATTACTGGGATTAAAGGCGTGCGCAACTACCATCCATCAAGATTTATTTATTTTATGGATAGGAGCGCCTTATCCGCATGTTACTATTGCCAGAAGAGGGCATCAGATCCCACTATAAGATGGTTGTGAGCCACCATGTGGTTGCTGGGAACTGAACTCAGGACCTCTGGAAGAGCAGCCAGTGCTCTTAACCTCTGAGTCACCTCTCCAGCCTACAAGACCATCTTAAAAGCTTGTCTGACCAAACCATTGGCTGTAGTGCAAAGATCAGTAAATGCTTAAGTGAAATTTAACTTTTTAAAATTTAGATTATGTTCCTTAAGGATGAATTCCATTAATTGAGAGCTAAAGATACAGGTTTAGGGAGGGAAAGTCTGGGATAAGCATTCTGGGGTATTTGGGTGGGTTCTGCCTCTATAGATAGCAAAAGGTCACCAGGTTGTTAATAATGTCCACTCCCTACTTGCTGCATGGAAAGCTGGTATTTTATTTCCTCCTTTGAGGAGACAACCCCTGCATGATTAACATTCCTGATTTTCCCAGCAATCTGTGGGTACAAGGACTTTTGTGCTCCCAACATTTTTTAAGACTTAGTAGTTCATTGGTGAGGTAGGGTTTTGTTTTCTGGCAATGATTTCTGGGTGTGGTATGAGTACTTTGCACTGCTTTTCATAGATGATTTTTTTTTCCTGTTTAATTTCTTTTTTTTTTTTTTTTTTTTTTTTTTTTTTGGTTTTTCGAGACAGGGTTTCTCTGTGGCTTTGGAGGCTGTCCTGGAACTCACTCTGTAGACCAGGCTGGTCTCGAACTCACAGAGATCCGCCTGCCTCTGCCTCCCGAGTGCTGGGATTAAAGGCGTGCGCCACCAACGCCCGGCTCCTGTTTAATTTCTTGGCTGGAGTTGTTTCTCTTGTAACAAATGTGCCTCGAGGTACTCACAGTGGCCAGTATACATTGAAGGCAGTGTGTCAAAAGGAGGGGGGGAGAGATATCTCAACATGTAGCTATATTTTTAAAAATAGTACTGGAAAATAAGATAAAATCTTTATGAAAATCTTTAGTTTTTAAGACTGTTTGCTGTTAATTTTGAACAATTGTTTCTTTTTTTTTTTAGCTTGCCTACATGTAGCCTGTGTTGTACAACAGAAAGATGCTAGGCAATGGTTTGCAGAACTTTCTGTGGATATGGAGAAGGTACTCTTCTTTTTTGAAGACATAGTCTTACTATACAGCCCTGCCTTGCCTGGAACTTGCTATTTAGATCAGGCTGGCCCCAATGCATCAAAATCCACCTGCCTCTCTCTCCCAAGTTAGGTTAAGGCATGTTGTGTGTTCTTTAAATGCTAATACATTGCTAGTTTAGTTACTGAAAGGTTTTCAAATACTTTCTTCTAGATTTTGGAAATAATCAGGGTTATTTTAAAACTATATGAGCAGTGGAAGAATTTTGATGAGAGAAAAGAGATGGCAACAATTCTTAGTAAGATGCCGAAGCCAAAACCACCTCCAAACAGGTACATTGTAGACTTAATTACTGATTTAATTCCATTATATAGTGTTCTCAAATTGTATTTTCCTTAAATTGTGTCATGTTTTATCTTTTTCTAAAAACTTATACTAAATTTTCTTAATTTCTCTTTATATAATTTCTGTCTTGATAAATTGCGATATGTCTCAGTTTTTAGATAAATCCTGTCTAGTAACTTTTCCTTTTGCAATGGAGGTCTATTACAGGTATCCCTCAACATATAGCCACATTCTGTACATAAATGGAACTGAACTAGGCAAACTCATTTGAAATTCTGCCATAAAAAGCTCAAATAATTCTTTACATTGACTCTGCATTCCTTTCCCTTCAGTAATGATTATTTTATGCATTTCAGTAGCCATTTTCAAAATTTTTGATGATCTGATATACTAAAGATAATAAATGTTGGCTTCTGAGTGATCCTATGATCCATAGGAAACAGTTACATATGATTTTGCCAAAAGTGAATCTCCTCTGCTAAGAAACTTTTGTTTTAAATTAATCTGTTCATTGATTGAATGGCTCTTTGCCTCACTGTGTGTCAGATCATTCAAGGAAGAGAAAAAGGTGAGAAGGAAAATAAATGCTGTCAGCTCAGTTGTTACTTCAAAGATTGTATAGCACTGAGATGCATTTATAGATGCTGCTGTTTACCGCAATGTTACACTTGAGAAGAAACTGATGCTTAACTGTTACGAGCAGCTGCTTAAGGCAGTCATTCAAACAGCTACCTTTGGATGCGTTTTTTACAGAAGCTCCCTGAGTGATTCTCCACTAATGGCAGGGCCTGAAGCTGCAAGATGATGATGGACAAGATAAGGCAATCTTCTATTGTCACAGTTACTGGTATTTCCAGCTTTAGTTATTTTTATTTTAATATTCACCATTTTTTCTAGGAAATTACCATATTTTTTGATGTATAAAAGTTTGTTATCACTACCATATGATTTTATTATGTCATTGGACAGCAGGTTTGTTTTTGTTTTTGGTTTGGTTTTGTTTTTGTTCTTTTTTTGAAAGACACTTTGGATTTTCCTAAAGAGTAGAAATAGAGTTTTACATGTCAGATTAATTTCGTAGGAAATTGTCCAGAACTTGTAATCTCTATGTTGAGTGATACCTGTAATAATAGTGAAATCCCAAACGCTAACTTAAATCTTTTAATGTATATGCACACTAACTTCCAGACTGCTTATTGTGTATGAGGGCCCAAAGTTACAGAAGAATAAAAACATAAAACCAAATGGTAGTTTCTGGATTTTAATTTTCTACGCCTGTGTCATAATCAGAAATGTCTTTGTTTTGTAGAATAGTGCCACAGAATAATTAACTTCAGAAACTAGTAATACTATCAGGTGTTGAAAATGAATCTTAATTGGCATAAAATTTCTTTCTTCCCCATTTGAACAGTGAAGGAGAACAGGGTCCAAATGGAAGTCAGAACTCTAGCTACAGCCAATCTTAAAACACCCTGAAGAATCCTGTAGTGGACCACTTGGAAGTAAAGCATTGGACAGTTTGAGTAAAGTCTTCATTGGAAATCAGATGCAAATGAATAGCTTGTTTTGTCAAGCATATTGGGAATTGACTTAATTTTTACAAAATAAGTTTACCTTACTTAATTTGATTCTAGTGTGTAATATATTAAATTTTTGGTTTTTGGAGACAGGGTTTCTCTGTATTGTTTTGGAGGCTGTCCTGGGACTCGCTCTGTAGACCAGACTGGCCTCGAACTCACAGAGATCCACCTGTCTCTGCCTCCCAAGTGCTGGATTTAAAGGTGTGCACCACCAGTGCCCAGCAATTATTAAATCTTAATTATAGAGTTTAGTAAAACTCTGAGGGGATCTATTGTAGACATAAGCAGACATTTCAGAGTTAACTTCTCTCACACAGAAACCGATATAGACACACTAATATTTGATTATGATAATTGAAGTTTTTTATTAATAGCCTTTTGGTTTTTTTTTTTTTGTTTTTTTTCAAGACAGGGTTTCTCTGTGTAGCTTTGGAGCCTCTCCTGGAACTTGCTCTGTAGACCAGGCTGGCCTAGAACTCACAGAGATCTGCCTACCTCTAGTAGCTTTTAAAAAATTGAGGCAGAAAACCTGAAATGTCATTTGTTTAAAATCCTCTTTGGAAATCAAGGGACCAAATAAAAAGAAAGAGCCCCCCACTCCCCAATTTAAGTTTAAAACTTTATTTAAGAAATAAAATCTTAGGAAAACCTAGAATATTTTGGGAATGATATTTACAATTTGAGGGAAATTAATCTAGAACTTACTGTTTTCTTAAATTATTTTATTCAGTACTTTTTGTGTCATCACAGAAGATACTAGCCCAGCCTGTTAGAAAAGTGCAATATGTATAGTATACGTTTACATTTTAATGGTTATATTGACTTATTAGCTGTTTTGAAATGCTGGGAGACCTGAAAGAAAAAATTATTTGCAATTTGGTTAAACAATGAAATTGAAATTTAGTTAAGTTTTAATGTTAATCTTTAATCTGTTCTGAAAATTTTTATGAGATACATACATGCCAGTCTAATTTTGTGTTGTAGTGAGAACCAACAGATGTTCAGCAAGTGTTCTGAGTGAAGAACCTAGTCAGGTTTCAGGCCAGTGTGATACTGACTATTGTTCATTTTCCTGAGTGTAGACTTCAGAACAGGTGCTACATTTATGGAACTGGTATCTCTGAAACTTCATAAATTCCTCATTTTCTTCAGACTTGAAGGAATAGTGACATAGAAACTTGGAGTAATAGGATATTAATGTGTAGTTTTGCACTTTTAAAAGATAAGTCATGAAAAAATTACTAAGCATTGACTTCCTAATTAAAATTTGAAGAATAAAGAATAAGTTCTTCAGCTATATTTCCTAGTGTCTTAAGTTCATTTTGTTAAGTTTGACTTAGGTTTTCTGAGCCTTTCTGCATGTTAAATAAAGCCCCTATGCTTTGTAAAGAGGTGATTTTATGTGGTTTATGAATAATTGCAAGAAATGTCTTGATTCCTTATGGAGAGTATCAGATGAGCTGAGAAGGAAATGATGCATTGGTATAATATGGGACCTCCTAAGGGTGTAGAAGGATAAGAAGCAAGAAAACAAGCTCTCTCCAGATCTTAAGGAGTTAATCTGAGCTTAGCTTGGATGCTCTGTGATTGCTCATCACAGTCTAATCTCTGTCCTTCATAGTTTTCCTTGCAGTCTCTCATTGTAAAAAATTTTAAATTTATGAGAGCAGACAAAGCAGTGTAATAAACCTCATGTGTATCTGATCTAGTCTTAGCAATTACTGATTTGTAGCCAGTTTCATCTTATTTCAGTTTCCACACCAGTCTCTAGTTTGCATATTGTTTTGAAGAAAATCCAGATATATTATTTCATCAGTATTTACTCCTGAGAGGTAATGGCTCCTTAAAACAGGTATTTTATAGTTTTAATATACTTTTGTATACTTTACTTACAAATTAATGAAAATAATTATCTGATCATATATTAAAAGTTTCAGTTTCCTGGAAGTTGCAGAACATTCTATGTATTCATTTATAAATCCTTTTAGTTTTATATTCATGGATTCTTCCTCCATGTTATTAACAAAAAATTCCCTGTTTTCATTTGTTCATCTTTTAAGTTTCCCATAGCCTAAATTTTACTGTGTTTTAGCATGCCATTTAATGTAGGGTTTTTTTGTTTCTTTGTTTCCTTCCTATGTCTGTAAATTGGTAATTGAATATGAAGGCTGATCACATTGAGATTCTCTTTGTTTTGGCTAGACTACTGTATAAGGTTGCAGTCTCTTCCATTAGTAAATAGTGGCCGTTGCTGTATTGTCACCCACTTAATGACAAGTATTGTTTTTCAGAATCAATTACTGTCTTAGGCACACTGTCCAGTATCATAGCCACTAGCCACTTAAGGTTGAACAGTTACCATGTGGCTTGTCTGAATGCAGATATGCTATAAATGTGCAAACATGTTGGATTTCAGGTACTTATTACAAAAGAATGTTAAAATCTTAATTTGTTTATAACCAGTATGTTTTAAATGATAATATTTTGAATACATAGAATTAAATAAAACATTATTAAAATTAATTTTTCTTGTTTCTTTTTAATTTTTTAAAATGTAAGGATATTTAAAATCACAGAGTGGCTTGCATTGGACAGTGCTGCTGCCAGATAATAATGAAAATGTTAGACCCCTGTCTCATCCCACCTGCTGCCTGCCTCTCTTTCCCATTCCTGCTTTCCTTTTAACTTAGTCATTTCTTTGCTATTTACTTCAACATTTCCAATTATCAAGCTCTTAATATGGCTCATTTGAGCACTTACTGTGTGCCAAATATACCCTGTGTGCTGAGTTTGAGCCAGTTCTCACAGTAGGTTTACTCCAGAGAAAAGAACTCATTCAGTCATAATTGAAGTAAGCGACAGCTTAGATACAGATTCTGTTCCATAAACCCTAGGCGTCTGAACTCCAAATGCGCTACCTTGCTACCTCTTCTGCTTACCCCTCCCCTTTTACTTATTTTTAGTAGTAAATATTACCCTGCTGTGGAAGATGGAAGATCTTGACTTCTCAAACATTTCCCCTTCACCCCTATGATGGGACTTCTACAATTTATTTATACAGTTTAAGCTGGCACACACCTTTAGTACTAGCACTTAGAGTATGGAGTCAGGAGGATCAGAAGTTCAAGTCTAACCTGATCTACATGTGAAGAGTTTGAGGCCAGCCTGAACAACAGTATCTCCAAATGACAAGGTGTACAATGTTCAGTATATATAGGTATATAGATAATAGTCTTCTATAATCTGATTTCTTTAAGATACTTTATATAAGTTACCTTGGTTATATATATAGTGTTTTACTTTTTGGTTTTTCGAGACAGGGTTTCTCTGTATTGCTTTGGAGGTTGTCCTGGAACTCACTCTGTAGACCAGGCTGGCCTCTTCACAGAGATCCTCCTACCTCCCAAGTGCTAGGATTAAAGGTATGCACCACTATTGGGCTTTGTTTAGTGTCTCTTTTTTTTTTTTTTTCTTTTTTCTTTTTTTTCTTTTTTTTTTTAGTCCAGAATCATTTGTTGTTTGTAGTTTAACAGTCACACTTAGTGAAGACTACTGGGTGTATTGTCCTCCGAGCAAGAATGACTGCTTTCAAGCCAAGTGTCACTGCTGTCGTAGAACTGACTGGATTGTAATTCCCCTTTTCTCTTGTGTAGTTACCAAAGATAGGCATATTTCAGACCTTTAAGGCAAAGCACCTGTTCTTTTTTGAGAGTGCAGTTCTTTCTCTAAGGGTATTAGGTTTTAAATCATTCTTTGCTCTGTTTTGTTTTTTTCCAAGACAGGAGTAGCCCAAGCTGACCTTGAACTCAGATCTGCCTGCATCTGCCTCCTGGGTGCTGGGATTTAAAGTGTGCACCACTACCACACAGTTACTTGCTCCCAGGTTTTTTTTGTTTGTTTGTTTGTTTGTTTGTTTTGGTTTTACGAGACAGGGTTTCTCTGTATTGTTTTGGAGGCTGTCGGTCCAGCCTGGCCTCGAACTCACAGAGATCCGCCTGCCTCTGCCTCCCGAGTGCTGGGATTAAAGGCGTGCGCCACCACCGCCGGGCTGCTCCCAGTTTTAATAGTTTTCTTGACAGTCCTTTTCTTCTGTTTGGTTTAGTCACACTGTTTCAAGTTAAAATGTTGTCATAATTTAAAGAGTCCTACATATTTGAGAAGACAGAAGGATTTTGGAATCTCTGTGTGTTAATATAAGGATAGCTTAGAATCAAAGTTTAAAACTGTCTTTGGGGCTGGAGAATAATTAGCTCAGAGGTTAAGAGCACTGACTGTTCTAGAGGTCCTGAGTTCACTTCCCAGCAACCACATGGTGGCTCACAACCATCAGTGATGAGATCTGGTGCCCTCTTTTGGCCTGCAGGCATACATGCAGATAGAACACTGTAAACATAATAAATACATGAATCTTTTTTAAAAACTGTTGTCAGGGCTGGAGAGATGGTTCAGAGGTTAAGAGCACCGACTGCTCTTCCAGAGGTCCTGAGTTCAATTCCCAGCAACCACATGGTGGCTCACAACCACCCACAATGAGATCTGGTGCCCTCTATGGCGTGCAGGCATACATGAAGGCAGGATGTTGTATTCATAATAAATAAATCTTTTAAAAAAACTGTTGTCAGATTTAATCTTCAAAGAAAACAAAGTCTACCAAGATATCGCCTTCTAGGAGTTTCTCTTCTTTCCCCTTCTCCCTCCTTACTGAAATCGCTCTCCTTTTCTCTCCCCCTCCCTTTGCTTGGTGCTTGTTGTGGGGCATTTACCAGAGAAGACTGCTCAGATATGGGTTTAAGGCAATGGAAAGTCTATTAGCCAGATAGCAACTATACTGAGTATTCAGTATCCCAGTGTAGCCCTGAGCCTTTCTCAGAGTGGGCTTTTTAAGTACAAGTGTTCTGGGTTGACAAACTTCAGCTAACACGAGCAGTTAACCAGAAGCAGCACTGCAGAAGCTGAAAGGTAAGGTTCGTCCATTTAGACACTTTCCGAGAACTATGTGGACTTTGATAGATAGGTCTTTGTTTTGGCTGGTGGTTCAGTCTGCTTGCTGAGTGTTACAGCCTGAATGGTACTTCCATGATGGATCAAGTTGTGCTAAGGTCTGGGAGCCTGTTTCAGTGCTGAAAAAACTTACAATGTTGAAAATGTTAAAAATATTTTTCCCCACACAGGGAACAACATATTTTGCTGCCAGGCATGGGGATTGTTCACTTTTTCATTGGTACTAATTGACTTAGACAGGATCTCCTTACACAGCCCAGGGTTGCCTCATACTACTGATGTTCTTGTGTCAGCCTCTATAATGCTGGGAATAAAGTTATGAGCCACCGTGTTGACTTCTTTAAGAATACATCATTTTGCCTGGCGGTGGTAGTGCACACCTTTAATCTGCACATTCAGGAGACCGAGGCAGGCAGATCTCTGTGAGTTCAAGGCTAACATGGTCTACGGAGTGAGTTCCATGGCTATACAGAGAAACCCTGTCTCAAAAAAGCAAAACAAAGCCGGGCGTTGGTGGTGCACGCCTTTAATCCCAGCACTCGGGAGGCAGAGGCAGGCGGATCTCTGTAAGTTCGAGATCAGCCTGGACTACCAAGCGAGTTCCAGGACAGCCTCCAAAGCCACAGAGAAACCCTGTCTCGAAAAACCAAAAAAAAAAAAAAAAAAAAAGCAAAACAAAATACATCATTTTGGGAGGTTGGAGAGATGGCTCAGTGGTTAAGAGCACTAGCTGTTAGACTGAATTCTCAACACCCACATGGCCAATTTGTAACTCTGGGTCCAGGGCATCTGATGCCCTCTCCTGACCCTTACAGGAGCCAGTCATACAAGTGATGCATAGCCATACATGCAGGCAAAATACCCATCTACATAAAAATAATAAAAGTCTTTAAAGATAATACAGTATTTAGTGTTGGAGAGGTGGCTCAGGTCTAAGAACATTTGCTGCCCTTGCAGAGAACCCAGGTTCAATTGCCAGCACCCACATTGCAGCTTATAACCACCTGTAACAATGGTTCCAGGAGATCCAACGCCCTTTTTTGGCATCTGTGGGCATTGCACACATTTCAGGAACTACCAAGTGCAGAAAAAGACATAAGACTATATATATACATAAAAACAGGTAAATCTTTTTCTTACAAGCTGTGCGTTGGTGGCACATGCCTTTAATCCCAGCACATGGGAGGCAGATTTCTATGAGTTCGAGGCCAGCCTGGCCTACAGAGTGTCCAGGACTGCCACCAAAGCAATACAGAGAAACCCTGTCTCGAAAAACCAAAAACAAATAAAAAAGAATACAAAACCTCTAGTACATTAGATGCTGAATCTGTATCTGCTAAGTGTTATGACACTGTCTGAAGATCAGAGGGTGGAGCTTGCCACTAGCTGACCATAGAGGTCTGGAGCTCTGTATAGACAGACAGGAAGTGAGCTGGCTGGCGGAAAGAGGATATAAGCAGGAAAAAACAGAAACTTGATCTGTTGTCTGCTGAGATGCCAAGGAGGTAAAAGGTGGTTTTTGGCTTGCTCCTTTGATCTGTCAGCATTTTCCTTCATATCTGACTCTGAGTAAATTATTTAGACCAATTAAGAACTCCTTACACTATGATCTTCACATCTGTTCCATGGAATGAGTCAGCAATGAGTGATGAGCAAAGGGGTCAAGACCAGGCTGAAGAAACCCACAAAAACAGCTGACCTGAACAAGGGGAAGCTCATGAACCCCAGACTGACAGCTCGAAACCTAGCACAGGACGCAATCAGGCCTCTGAATGTGAGTTAGTTAGGAGGCCTGTGCAGTCTATGGGGCCTCTGGTAGTGGAACAGTATTTATCCCTCGTGTAGGAGTGGACGTTGGGAGCCCATTCCCCAGAAAGGAATACTCTCTCAGCCTAGACATAGGGGAGAGGGCCTAGGCTCTGCCCCAATGATGTGACAGACTTTGATGATCTCCATCAAGGTCTCATCCTTTCTATGGAGCAGAAAAGGGATGGGATGGGGCCAGTGGGGGCCATGGGAGCATGGAAGGGATTGTTTCTAATTTAAATTAAAATAAAAAAGGGAAGATGGCAGTAATAAGTAACAAACATTAAATAGAATATTAATAATGTTAATACATATGTTTCTCTTCCCTCAGTGGAAACTATCATGAAATTGGCATTCATTATTTCCATAGCTATATTGAAGTGCCTAGTAGTTGATATAATATCATGTTTTAAAAATAGGCTACATAGTATGTTTCTATAATTTGCTCTTAATGTGTGAACCTTCCTTTCTTTTTTTGTTTTGTTTTCGAGGCAGGGTTTCTCTGTATAGCCCTAGCTGTCCTGGAACTCACTTTGTAGACCAGGCTGGTCTCAAACCAGAGATCCTCCTGCCTCTGCCTCCCACATGCTGGGATTAAAGGCAAACCTCTAATTTTTCATCGACATGAGTCTTATCTGTGTCTAATCTGATCTGAAGCCTGTTTAAACATGTTAGGTGTTGTCTTTTGTTGTTCTTTTTGGTTACCAGGAATTAAATCAGGGCCTGTGTTTCCTGCCTAAATGTGATATCCCTAAACTACATCCCTGACCCTCTTTACATTTTTAATAGGTTCTCATTAATTTGCCTAGGTTGTCTTTGAACTCACAATCCTTCTGCCCCATCCTTGCAAGTGACTGAGATTGCAGGCATGTGCCACTGAGCCTAGCTTAGTTCTTTTGTTTTCTAGAACTTCTGTTTGATACTTCTTGTGTTTTTATATAGTTCCCCTTATTTTTGTCATCAAATTACTGAATATACTTTAGCTACTTTACTTTTTTAGTCATGGTTACGTTAATCATTGTGTCTGAAAGTCCAATATGTAAATCATTCTGGTTCTGTTTACGGTCTCTTTGAGGCAGGGAGGGTTTCGTATAGTTCAAGCTTGCCTTGAACTCACTGTGTAGCTGGGTCCTTTAGCTTCTCCTCCTCCTCCTGTCTTCACCTCCCAAGTGCCAGGGTTACAAGCATATACCAAAATACCCAACTCTTTTTTTCCTATTACTGTCTTTCAATCTTAAGATCATATTTATTGCTGGTGGCACATACCTTGAACATTTGCAAGGCAGAGGCAAGTAATCTCTGTGAGTTTGCTGCCATCCTGGTCTACATTCTAAGTTCCGGGCCAGACAGAGCTACAAAGTTAAAACCCTCTCCCCAAAACAAAAAGATCCTGCTTACTGTTGTACTGTTGGGTCTCATAAAGATGACTCCACTCTTGGCTCAAGGGGAGAGTTCAAAACTGCCCTCAGTAAGTCATAAGACCTAAAGGTCTAAAGTGTGGCTACAGTAGGATGTTCCATTTTGACCTTGGGGGTCTTATCTAAATAACAACAGAGTAGGTCTGAGGTGTGGTTACTCTTGATAACAAGAAATTTAATATAAGGTGTGGTTACCAAATCCTTGGATAATTGAGGAAGAAGTCTGTTTCTTCTGTATACATAATACCATGTTCCCCTTTTCCTTTAAGGTATTTAAGAATGGTGAAAAATAAACTCAGTATTGACTGAATCTGCCCTCCTGATTTTATTCCTGTGTCTCTATCTTTTCTTTTAACGTCTTTATCCAGTCTTTTCATCCACACTCCCCCTTTTAGGTACTAACTGTGGGCTGCTGCCCCAGAAAGAGAGCTTCCCACATTGTACCTAACAAGTTTTCGCAGAAGTCTAAACATTATATGTGAAAACTTCAGCTCTGGTTCAGCCAACCACACACTGTCCTACAGCTAAGTCTGGTTTGTATCTCCTTTTTGGCCTGGCCTTGAGGTAAAAATGTTTATTATATTTTCAAATAGTTGAATGATTATTTGGTGACACATGAACATAAAATTAAAACTTTGATATCCATTAGAAATTTTACAGGAGCCGGTGGTGATGGCGCAAGCCTTTAATTCCAGCACTCGGGAGGCAGAGGCAGGAGGATCTCTGTGAATTCCAGACCAGCCTGGTCTTCAAGAGCTAGTTCCAGGACAGGCTCCAAAGCCACAGAGAAACCCTGTCTCTCGAAAAACAAACAAAACCCAAAAAACTATATAAATGAGAAGAAAAAAAAAGGGGGGTCAGAAGAAGTGGTAAAACACAAGTTTGCTACTATTAATGCCCGCACACTGACGACAAGCATATAACCTAACATTCTAAAGAAGCACATTTGCGCTAGCAGGAGTCAAACAGGGATAAGTATTTGTTTTTATTAGTTTTAAAAGGTAAAAACACATACCTTTGTGTTTGGTAAGTTTTGACACACACATCCGACATTTAAGTCATGCCACAGAAGATTTCTACTATCCTACAAAATTTCCGAACCTATAGGTTAGATTGCCTTCCACAGTCGTAATCTGGGAAATTTGTATCCTCACATTACCTTTCATTTTTAAAATTACATTGTTACACATTGTCATGAGTCTTCAGATGCTGTAAATGTGTTTTCTTGTTCAGGGTTTACTTCTTTGAACCCCAGATCCTTTCTTTTGAAACAGAGTCTTGTTGTGATACTTTGTTTGCGTTCTTACACACAAAGCTTGGCTGAAGATCAGAGGGTGGGAACTAGCTACTAGTTAATCATAGAGGCCTGGAGGTCTGCACAGACTGGGGACACATAATGATAAGGCAGGGCAGAGAGGAAGTACTAGAAGCGTAGACAGGAGCTCCGCCCTTTTCAGGGTGAGTCAGAAAGGTAAGAGATGACTGTGTGGCCAGTCCTTCTCTGATCTTTCAGCTTTTACCCCGATATCTGACTCCGGATTTTTATTATTAAGACTAATTAGGATCATGCATCAGGGTCTCTGAAGTCCATGCTGGTCTCAAACTTAGAGCCATCTGTCTGCCTCAATCACCTGAGTATTGGAACTACAAGTATGCATCTAAGACCGATGCTTAGTTGTTGTTTAAGATTGGGACTGCTTGTTAACACACTATTTTTGCTTTTAGCATGATTCCACTGGATTAGATAATACAGGCTACCTGATATTTTGGGATACCAACTACTTAAGAATTGAGTGTAGAATCTGAGGATTTCAATGGCAATTCATATTATCTTAGTCCTCAGTAGACTGAAGATGTTCCAGCGGAGCAGTATCTTCGGTTCACAGACGAGGAAACCAATTACCAAAGTGGTTATAAAGAATCCATTAGCCTTTGATGTCAAGACTGGAGTTTTCTTTTGCTTCATCCATTGTCCTTGACTGTGTGAATACAAGGACAGAGTCTCTTATTCCAAAACTCAATTTTCTTGTTTGTTCTCTGACATTTCATAGGTTACCCATTCCTTCCAGCCTCCAGCATAGTGCTGAGCACTGAAAACATACAAAATAGTGGCAGGTTTCATAACAGAACATTGGGAGGAACTTTGCAATAGCTACTCAACCATACTATCTAGATTCTGTCTTTCTAAAAAAATGTCTCTATACTGTGTTTATTAACAGTTTTTTTTTTCCTCCTATAGTAGTAGCGATTAAAGCCAGGCATGCGAAGAACATGAGGAACCACTGAATTATACCACCAGCTCTAAGACACTTTCTTTCTTTCTTTCTTTCTTTCTTTCTTTCTTTCTTTCTTTCTTTTCTTTTCTTTTTCGAGACAAGGTATCAATGTAGCTCTGATTGACTTTGCATTTTTGTTCATATGTGCATACGTGTTTTGTCTATGCCACATGCATACCTGGCACCCTAAGAGAAAAAGGCATCAGGTCTGTCAGATCTCCTGCAACTGGAGTTACAGACAGCTATGAGGTACTATGTGGATGCTAGAAACCAAACCTGGGTCCTCTGGAATTGCAGCCAGTGCTCTTAACCATTGAGCAATCTCTTCAGCCCTGCCCCCTCCCCAAAAGATTCTTTGCTTTGTTTGTTTGATTGGTTTGGTTTGGTTTTTAAAGATAGGGTGTCTGTACAACAGTCCTGGCTGCCCTGGAACTCAGATTTGTAAATCAAACTGGCCTCAGAGATCCACCTGCCTCTGCCTCCTGAGTATGAGATTCTTAAATAGACTAAGATGGTTATTTTCATTTTTGTTAGGATGCAGATTGAATCCATGGCTTTTTTATATCCTAGATAATTATGCTACCACTGAGCTATAGTCCCAGCATCCCAAATGGCTATGTAACATTGCAATCCACAGTGCACAATATAGTTTTTTCTTCATTCACATACCTGTTAAAGCCCAGAGATAATGCTGTGTCCATGGCCTGCTTACTTCTTACTCCAGCGAAACAAGAAAACACTAGACTGTCAGATTTGGATGGCTTCACTTCATTATACTTCTCTTTGAAGTCCCTTGGATTCATCTGTAGAGCTTCACCTACCTCATCCACTGGAAGAAAATGTTACAGCAGTCAAATAAGTTTTGAATATAATCAGTTATTAAGCATACCAATGAATCTGTTTAAAACACACATCACTTACACGGTATATTGATTGATCCAGGTATTTTTCCATGCTCAAGAATTTCCCATGTATCTCTAACATCAATTAACATAATATTTTTGGAGTTCAGTAGGTTTTTTAGTTCCCTATAAGTGACATCCTTAGAAAGAGCAGAGTAAAAATGTTGGCTGCTTCCCCATATTGACTTCAAACCTATAAAAACAAAAATTAGACATTGATGTAAACAGCTATAAGTAGGTTATAGTTAGATGACATAACTGAGTTCACGTTTTTACTTTAATAAACTCTGGATACACATACTCTGTTCCTGGTTCCTGACTTGGAAGTACATAGAACTTCTCAGAGTGGGAGATGATACCTTTGGAGTCTGGAGATCTACTAGGTTAACATGTCCAAGCTTTACAAAGACGGCACACCCGAGTTCCATGAAGATGGAAACACTTGCATTTAAGATTCCTCTCAATCTCATACTAAGACTTCTTCAGCAGGTTATCCATCTTTTTCTTTTTTCTTTTTATACAGGGTTTCTCTGTAGCTTTGGAGCCTCTCCAAAAACTAGATACATAAACCTGAGGCTGGCCTCGAACTCACAGAGATCCACTAGTCTATGCCTCCTTAGCGCTGTGATTAAAGGTGTGCACCACCACCACCCGGCTTGTATTCTTTATTAAATCGTTGAAAATAAACTGATAAAAAATGCTTACCTGATTTCTGTTAGGGAATTACTGACAATGGAGAAGGAGTCATGGGCATCTTATTTATGTTCAGTTGGTCAGAAATAAGGAAAGCTAGGACTTGGGAGTCATGTCTAAAATAAGGACAGTTTTGCTGCAAAACCCTTGTGGTGCCTTCAGGAACTGGGTAGTTGGTTCAGAATTAAGTTTTAAGACTCAAATAGAGAATTAAATTATAATATGTAAGCCCCTGCTCAGCCCTGACATACCTAAGAGGAGAGCGGTGCAAGCAGAGCACAGAAAAGCATCTTCCAATCTGCGCACACTCTGACTGGGCAGCAGTGGACAGCCTGTGTTCTTGTTCTTAACGCTTACAGCTGGCCTCCCACTTCAGATTCTCCCCAAACCCTTTAGCTAGGAAGACCTTAGGAACCTGTCAACCATTTAATAATTGTTATCGGTTCAGTTTGTCAATCCCACTCTTAGATGACAATAGTGTAGAAAAATTCAGTTACATTTCTCTTTGCAAATAAAGATAGCAACTTGTATGTCATAGGGTTTCTGTTGTCATAAAACACCATGACCAAAAATTTCTTGGGGAAGAAAGGGTTTGTTTCATATCATAGTTCATAAGTCCATCACTTAGGGAAGCCGGGGGCATGAATTCAGGAGGTGGGAACTGAGGCAGAGGCCGTGGAGGATTGCTTCATGTTGTCTTGTTCTCCATGGCGTACTCAACCTGCTTTCTTATACACCCCAGGATTACCTGCGTGGGGTGGCACACCTACAGTGGATTGGCCCCTCCTACATAAATCTTTAATAAAGAATATGCCCCTGCCAGCCATGGTGCCACACAACTTTAATTCCAGCACTTGGGAGGCAAAGGCAGGTGGGTCTCTGTGAGTTTGAAGCCAGCCTGATCTGTGAAGCAAGTTCCAAGACAGCCATTGAGAAACCCTGTCTCAAAAAGGGGGGTGGTTGGGGTATAAGTGTTTGTGTCAGGCCTGTAAAGCTTAGAGGTATTGATAATACCAAATATTGGCCAAGGTCTGATGAAATGGATTCTTTTTTTTTGTTTTGTTTTGGTTTTTTTTGTTTTTTGAGACAGGGTTTCTCTATATTGTTTTGGAGGCTATCCTGGAACTGGCTCTGTAGACCAGGCTGGTCTCAAACTCACAGAGATCCGCCTTTCTCTGCCTCCCGAGTGCTGGATTTAAAGGCGTGCGCCACCAAGCCAGGCTGAAATGGATTCTTACACATTGCCATTAAGAACTCTTAAAGGGGGACTAGAGAGATGGCTCAATGATTAAGAACATTTACTGCTCTCCCAGAGGACCTGGGTTTGATTCCAAGATTTATTTGATGGTGGTTCACAACTATCTGTAACCTCAGTTCTGAGGGATCCAGGACCATCTTTTCCCCTCTTCAGGCACCAACTATGTAGGTGAGACATGCATGTGAACAAAATACCTGTACACATAAAATAATAATAAATATATAGGTTTTTGTTTTTGTTTTCAAGTCAGGATTTCTCTGTGTAGTCATGGCTGTCCTGGAACTCACTCTGTAGACCAGGCTGACCTCAAAATCACAGAGATCCGCCTGTCTTTGCCTCCCAAGCACTGATTAAAGATGTGTGCCACCACTGCCTAGCTTCAGAATTAGTGTTTTAAAAGGTTACAATCAACCTATTCAAATAAAAGACAGCAGGCTAAATTCACACACTTTCTATGTGTCATGGTAAGAAACTGAAAACTATGTAACTTCATTAATTATGTAAAGCTTGGTTCTAGTCCTGTTTAAGGACATAGAAAATGTGCCCACAACAAGGAGCTCTTGAAACTGGATCAAAGATAACATCTTTGTCTTGTAATCAAAAGGCAGACTTTTAACCTCCTGTAATTCAGCTATACTCACTTGTGAGGTAGTAGGCAATGAAGACAAGTGTCCTTGCCTTTCCAGTCAGTGATCAACACGTGAAGCAACAATGTATTTTCCTTTATTCTCACATTCCCCTAGTCTCTCAACGGCATGAGCCTACACTGCACACTATTATTCCACATCAAGCTATCAGTGTTTTGTATACCATATCCTCTACTTGTAAATTGACCACTTGGTCTAGTGTTCAACCAAAGAAACATTCATCTGTTCTTACACTGAAGAAAAAAATGACTGAGTCTTAAGTTTTGGAGAATATATATTTACATATATGTGTAAGATATGAATATATATGTTTATATAGATATTGGAGTATGTATATAAAATCTCCCTTCTCAAGCCATGAACCAAAATAAACCCTTTCTGAAATTGCTTTTGTCTGGTATTATGTTATAACACTGAGAAAACTAATGAATACATGCTGTTGGGTTTAAATAAAATTAATGTATATACATAGTGCAATCAGTAATTATTCCTGTTTTTCATTAATTATACCATACTTCTCTTTCTAAAAGAAATATCTGTCCCTTCATATCTACAGGGGACACCTACTCTCCTTTCATACCTATTTAATATTTCTTGTCATTTCCCTTTAACAATTCTAGGTATCCATTCTACTAAAATACTTGTTTGTATACATAGGGTAGTTTACACAATGATGATCAAATAATTTTATAATAAAAATCTGGAACTGAGAATTTTTATTACTGACTGGTTAGTAACTGTAATACATGCCCACTATGGAATATATGCAGGTTTTAAAATCTAAATAGCTAAGTGAATCAAAATATATAGAAGTATACACACAATACAAACATATAATGCCAACTTTTGTCTCTGACTGTAGAAAAACTTGAAGTCATTGTGTCCATATCTGAAGAGTGGGATTTGAGTTGTTAAAGGAGATCTGTGGATGTGTTGTTTTGTTATTTTGCTTTATTTTAGCGAGAAAATAACCATGTACTATTTGTGTGCCTTCTAAAATACAAAAAAAAAAAAAAATTCGAGGCAGTGATGGCGCAAGCCTTTAATCCTAGCATTCAGACACAGAAGCAGGCTGATCCCTGTGAGTTCAAGGCCAGCCTGGTCTACAAGAGAGTCCTAGGATAGACTCTGAAGCTACACAGAAAAACCCTGTCTCAAAAACAAACAGTACACAAAGGCACCTTCCTCTGGCACTGCGTTCAAGTCAAGATCCGAGGCTCTTTCAGTTCAGTCACTGGACTGGGCTGTGGACTTGTGTCTGTCTCCCTCTCACCCACTCACGTATAAAATGTGAACTCCTTACGGAGTTGTATCCCCTCTAGGAGGCCTGGCAGATTTGTCTAGTGTTGCTACGAAAAGGTGAAAGAAGACAGTTTGCACAGAAAACCCCATCTTCAGTAACAAAAGATGTTAAGAAAGGAGCAAGAGGCCTTTAATCCCAGCACTCGGGAGGCAGAGGCAGGCGGATCTCTGTGAGTTCGAGGCCAGCCTGGTCTACTGAGTGAGTTCCAGGACAGCCTCCCTGTCTCGAAAAGCCAAAATAAATAAATAAATAAAAATAAAAAAGAAAGGAGCAAGAGAGGCTAGCTTGCTGGGCCCATAAAGCTGCTTCTGTGGAAGAAAATAGACGTCAAAGAAGGGGCAGTATTTAAAATAAAATAATAATAGTAATAGTAAAACGAGGGGTGCAGGGGAGGAGCTGAAGCCTGGACTGAACTTTAGACTCAGCTAGGTCAACAGTTACGTTTTCTCCTACTCCCAAATTTGCAAAATTAATGGGGGGGAGAGAGAGAGAGAGAGAGAGAGAGAGAGAGAGAGAGAGAGAGAGAGAGAGAGAGAGAGAGAGAGAGAGAGAGAGAGAGTTTGGTGTTTGTGTGTGGGGGGGTTCTGGTTCATGAAGAGATGGGCTTATCCTCTGGTAGGTCACAATGTAAGTTAAAAGTCTGGGTTTGTAAATTAAGCCGCTCCGGAGCCTTCCTGCCGACTCCACTGAGTGGCGGATTGACCTTCATCATTCAAACTTGCACAATTCATTCTCATTATAAATAACCCTGGTGCCATGTTTACTCTGTCGCTGTGTTCATCTGCGCATCTCCAGGCTGGGAGAGCATGGGATCCGGAGGGAAAAAGGAGCATGTGGGCACTGCATACCTTACGTGCCAAGAGGGGCGAGCTTCGCTTATATTAATAACTGGAAGTCTAACGAGAGCACGCTCAATGTCATCCTCTCCCTGGCACCCGAAATCGGGTGGTTTTGTTCCTCGGGAATCAAGCTCACCTCCAAGCGCAGCCTCCACGGATCTTAGCGCCGCTCTGCGTGAGGTCCCAAGCACTCGCCTAGCCAGCATCCCCGAGGGCTCTCCGGGACCCCTAGTGCAGCCGACCACTTCCTCCTCCTCCTCCTCCTCCTCCTTCCTGCCTCCTCACCACCGGCGCTGTCCAGGCTCTTGAGCGCCCCGCTGTCAGCACTGGCAGAACGGAGTACTGCCACACAGTTAATATTTTACTATAGTCATGTCTTTGGAGGACTACCTTAATTAGGTTAACTGATATAGGAAGACCCAGACCGCTCTGAGTGGCACCAATACCTAGACAGAGGGCCCTGAGATATTTTAAGACTAGGGGAATGGAAGGGCTGAAGAGATCAGTGAGCGGGACTCAATGCAGTCTTCTGACTTTGCTGGCACACAAACCCATAGACACTTGGCACTCACTCTCACACACATACATAAAAAGAAACATTCCACTATTTAAAAGTGGCAACATGAAGCTGTACACAAACAAGCGAACGTGCACGTGTTCATTTCTCTCTGCTCATGACTGCGTGTAATGTTAGAAGGAAGAGCAGGGTCCCAAAGAAAGAGACCACCATTCCAACCTGACTCTTGATAAAGAGGTGCACTGGGAAAGCTAACACACAGAAAGTGCGCTTGGCTTTTATTCAAACTTTGGTGGTGACTGGTGTTAACCGTTGGCTGGGGTCTGAAGTCGCTGTCGCAATCTTTTTTTTTTTTTTTTTTTTTTTTTTTTGGTTTTTCGAGACAGGGTTTCTCTGTGGTCTTGGGGGTCTTGTAGACCAGGCTGGCTTTCACAAAGATCCGCCTGCCTCTACTTCCCGAGTGCTGTGATTAAAGGCTTGCGCCACCAACGCCTGACTGATGTCCCAGTCTTAACTGAAACGAACTGGTGACTAGAAAGTGAAGGAGAACGGAATTACTGCTCTAGGCCATCAAATTCCTGGAGTGCAGTAGTGGACCTTTGTGTAAACAAAGGTTTTACTGGGTGCTGATGGGAATTAAAACATTTGAACTAAGTCTGACAAGAGCGAGGGAGGGGGAGAGTAAAAATATTTAAATTCCTTGTCCGAAACACAAGTTTCATAGTTTTTGTTATGATAAAGGGCAAGGGGAACCTTGGCAAATTCCATGGCAGGTGAGGATGACTAACACGCCAGGCAGACAGAGCTTAAGTGAGAAGTTTTATTAGAAAGGGAGGGGGGAGGAAAGAGAGAGAACAGAGGTAAAGAGACACAGAGACAGAAGACAGAAGAAAAGAAGGAGACAGGAAAAGTTCTGTCTGCCCCAGGGGAACCTCAGGGAAGAGAGAGAAAGAGAGGAGCAGGAAAGAGAGTGTAAGTGGGCGAGGATCTTTGTTTGTTTGTTTGTTTGTTTGTTTGAGACAGGGTTTCTCTGTGCCTTTGGAGGCTGTCCTGGAACTCACTCTGTAGACCAGGCTGGTGTTGAACCCGAGTGCTGGGATTAAAGGCATGTGCCACCACCGCCTGGCGGGGGCCTTTCTTTTAAAGGGGTCCTTAGTACCTGCATGCAGGCTAGCAACCTTGGAACCCTGGGGCTGATCAAGGTACTGCCTGAGTGCATTCTGCCAGGTGACAGGGGCAGGACAGCATAATGCTTGAATCCTGACAGTATTGATACAAAAGTCCTATATTTGGTATTTCTTACAGTGGGCTATTGTCTAGTTGTCTTGAGTTCTGCTGCTTTGACTTCCCAACATGATAGGCTTCTTTTCTCCTCTAAATTGCTTGTTGTTGGGGTATTTTATCACAGTAACAGAAATGAAATTGTAACAGGGCCCCAGACCTTGGTAGGCTTGGAGATCTTAGCACAACTGACTCATGATAGAAATGTCATTCAGGCTGTGAAACTCAGCACAGGCTGTAAAAACTGCACCACCTGCCAAAACTTTCAAAGTCCACAGTTCTTAGAAAGTCTCTAAATGGGCTAACCTTGCCTTTTGACTTCTGCTTCTGGCTAACTGTTCTTGTTAACTGAAGTATGTCAACTCAGAACATGGTTTTTGTGCTTTAAAGCTCATCCTGAGAAAGGCACAGGGCTACACTGGAACCCTGAACACCCAGTATGGTAACAGCTGACTAGCAGAGACTTTCTTTTGACTTAAACCCATGTCTGAGCAGTCTTCTCTGGTGAATAGCCAACCATAAAATGAGAAAAACGTTTAATATTTGTCTCTTTGAGTCTGATACTTAACACGATCTCTAGTTCCGTTCACTTTCCTGCAAATAGCCATTGCCAACTCTAAATGGGGCTTGCAGTCTCTGGAGATTTTGGTCAGATGAAGAGCATATCTGTTAGATGTCAAGGTAGCTGAATGAATATAGGAGCAGTAAAGAAATCAAACTAATCACTGGGGCGCGGGGGGGGGGTGTAGGCCACCACCACCTTGATTAAAATATGATACTTTATAAATGCACAGCCCTAGTTTCTGTCCCTCCTTCACATGAGTCTTTTGTACCCCTCTACCTCTATTCCTCAGAACCCATCTCTGCCCTCTTGGTTTCTTTTAGGTGTTTAGGCTCTGCCTACATTTCCACCCATTTACGCACATGGGAACTTTCATGCATTACAGGCTGGGCTCTGCAAACGACAGTGAAGATGTGGTTCATGTCTTCCCAAGTCTGAGTGTCCCTGCTTAATGTTATACTTTCCAGGTCCATATTTTTTGTAAAATTTGTAATTTCTTTTCCTTTATCACTGAATGCAATTCCATTGTGTGTATGAAGCACATTTTCATTGTACATCCATCTGTTGATGGGCAGCTAAGCTAGTTCCAGTTCTTCGCCATCACATACATACCAGCAGTAAAACCTGGAGGTGCGGGTATCTTTGTAGTGAGGTATTCAGACTGGATAGATACTAAGGAGTCATATAGTTGGGTCATATCATAGGTCTAATTGTAATTTATCAAGGAGCCATCATACTTATTTCCATATAGCTACACGAGTTTGCATCCCTACTAGCTATATTTACCAGAATTTGTCATCAGATTTCTTGACTAGATCCACTGTGTCTGGGGTGAGGCATCCCTAGTTATAGAAATGCAAATTAAATGTCTTTAACAAGTATGGGTATTTTTCTACCAGCATACTGATAATTTTGCTAAGTATACAATCCATTTTTATTTTTTCATTACTGTTTCCTCAGAATTTAATGTGTAATTGCATAGATGCTTTTGTACATCTGTAAAAAAAAAAAGGACCTATTCCTGTTGCAATTTAGGATGCAAATATTTTAGATTTTCTCTTTTGCGTATCTTTTTCTCTATTTCAAATTCAATATTAACATGCTAAACTTTATTCATACAGACAATTTTGACTTTGAAATTACATCACAACACAATTGTTCTTACTGATGCAACATTTTTTTCCTCCTAAAAGATAATTGTGTGTTCCCATATCTAGCACCTTAACAGCGTATTGTATTTTTGGCTCCTTTAAACACAATGTAAACGAATAGCTAGCTCCTTCGACAAGTTTCCCCACCGAGATGAATTAGAATTTTAAGGTAACAGTCAGCTTTGGGCGCTTAACTACAATCTTTTAACTTCTAACCCAGCACCTTCTCCATTAGGCCACAACTTGTCCTTTGTGAAAGGCTGAGACTTCTAGGACCCATCGACTAGTGCTTGCAACAAAATAGTTTCAAACCAATTAATTGTTTTTACTCAAAAGCAAGGTGCATATCGCTGTAACAGATGATCGGACGCTGATGAATTACAGGTGTGATGCATTGTCTAGTTCGGAAGTGAGAACTGCATGAAAAACAAACTTCATCTACAGTAAATTCCAGAAGGGTGATGAGACCAGGGAGGCCGTTCCAAAAGGTGCCCAGAAAGCGGGGCAGGCCAGAAGGACCAGAGAAGCTCACCCAAGCTTGAACCCAGGCCCTGTGGCTGGCATTGTACCAACCTACTGCAGGGAGTCACCCCTTATTAAACCCTCTAGCTCCACTCGGGTTCGCTCGATCTCCTGGCTGCGGGAAGAGCAGCTGGGATCAGAGACTGGACCCAAAGTCCCGCCCCTAGGCTACCCTGAACACCAGGCCCCGCCCTCGCCCCACCCAGAAGCCAGACCCCGCCCCACCCAGAACACCAGACCCCACCTCTCAGCCTGCCCAGAACTCCAGACTTCGCCCCACCCAGGACACCAGACCCGACCCCCAGCCTATCCAAAACACCAGACCCCGCCCTCGCTCCACCCAGGATGCCAGGCCCCGCCTTCTCCGAGTTGCCTGCCGCGCAGGCGCAGAAGCTCCTGCGTGTGGAAGCTGCGGCCCGGCGGGCGGGGTGAGTCGGGGCCCAGGCTTTGGGGTCACTGCATCCCTTGTGTCTTCGCTGTGTCTCCTCTGGGGCGGCCAGGCCTCTTTCTAGGTGGATCAGCCGAGCAGGAGAGGTTTCCCGCGTGCCCTCGCGTCCACATGCACAGGGGCACCGGGCTGCCACCCGGCCGGGTCCTGGCAGCTGCGGGAAGAGCCGGGGCCGGGGAGGGAGCCAGGCCTCTCGTCCCCTTGCGATCTCAACCTTGCAGCGCTTTCCAATCTGCCAGCTTGGGGTGCGTCAGTGGCCTGAGGAAGAGAGCCTAACCACGGCTTTCTGGCAACACCGAATATTAGGTTAGGGGTAGATGCTACCTGAGTCCACTCCTGCCTCCCGGACTTCTGCAAGTCACTTTACCTCCGTCCAGTTTCAAGTGTCAAATGAGGAAGATGATAGTGATGATCGTGACGTATCTCGCAGTAGTTGGGAGAAGGTTCTTGAGTGTTCTGAGCCCGGGTAGCTAAAAGGAAGATGTTTACGTTTCCTCTTCTCATGCTGGAGAATAGCAGCCCAAGACTTAAAAAAAAAACAGTGTTTGGATATGGGAATCTTGTAGCCAGTTGAAAAGCAAAAATATTAAATATGCTAGCTGTACATCCTGTGTTAGAGAAAATGCAGGCGACTAGGTAATGTTTAAGTTGAAGCTGGTGGCTCGGCAGGTAAAGGTTTTAGCTCATTCTCCAGGACCACGTGGTGAAAGAGATCCTCAGGAATGCAAAGCGAAACGCATAAACACGTGCAAATTCTTACCCACAAAATAAATAAATGCTTAGGTTTTTTTTTTTTTTAAGCTGTACCATTTGATGTTTAGAAAACCTCGCGGGGGAGGGGGCGGGCAGAACGTATTTATGGTGAAGAGTTAACAATCAGGCCTGAGGCTTCTGTGTTTTGTCGGGTCTACTTGCAGCCTTGGTCCCGGTTTGGCACTGAGCTCAGGGGAACCCATTAGAGACTCGGAGCATACCCAACTTGTTCCTTGTGAGCAAGCTCGCCCACCGCAGAGGGTGAGAGCTTATGGAAGTTATGGAAAAGTGCCCCTGTGCATTCTAACCAGGTCGTGAGTTCATTCAAACGCTCTGTGAAATGTCCACGAGTACAACCCACAACCGTGTGCTGACTCGTCAATGCCAGAAGAGTCTTGCAGAGTTCCTGACACAGTTTTGATAATGGAAAGTTAGTGGATGCTGGATTGTAAATGTAGAGGTAGGAAGAGCAGATGGCCATCTCATTGTGGGGAGGTGGGAGAGTTGGAGGTTAAGGAGATTGAAAAGGGTTTGAAATGGCTGAGTATATGAAGTGCACACAAGTTGTCCAGAGAGAGGTGTGGCGGATAGGGGCAGACTCGGGATGCTTCCTTTCTTTTTTTAGATTTATTTGTTATGTATCCAGTGTTCCGTTAGTATGCATGTCTGGTTGTGAGCCACCATGTGGTTGCTGGGAATTGAACTCAGGATCCTCTGGAAGAGCAATCAGTGTTCTTAACCTCTGAGCCATCTCTCCAGCCCACAGGATGTTTTCTTTTAAGACTTTCTGAATACTTGTGTTCATCTAAAATTGACTTCTGCTAAATGAGTGATGTAGTGTTTGTTTACTTACCCGAAGTTAAATGTGTCCGTTTGATTTTCTATAGTCAGGCAACAGGAGCTTCGGGCAAGTCTTTACGAACCAGTTCTGGAGCTGGGCGTTGGTGGCACACACCTTTAATCCCAGCACTTGGGAGGCAGAGGCAGGCGAGTCTCTGTGAGTTCGAGGACAGCCTCCAAAACAATACAGAGAAACCCTGTCTCGGGAAAAAAAAAAAAAAAAAGGAAGAAAGAAAGAACCAGTTCTGAGGTTCTGAGGCAGGGTGGTGGTGGCATACGTCTTTAATCCCAGCACTGGAGAGGCAGAGGCAGGTGGATCTCTGTGAGTTCAAGGCCAGCCTGGTCTACAGGGTTCCAGGACAGCTTCTAAAGCTACAGAGAAACTGTCTCGAAAAACAAAACAAAACAAAAAACCCAAAAGAACAAACAAACAAACAAACCAGTTCTGTATTGGAAGCTTTCCCCTTTACCCCATTGTATTGTAGGTATAGAAACTTTTGCTGAGGTGTGTTATCAAGGACATCTGCATATACTATTCCTCACACATACTTTGAAAGAGATTCATATGGGATAGCAGTATTAATAAAGAGTGAAGAACTGTAACAGATGAAGTACAAATAATGGCTGAGTCTTCATCCAGAAAACCCCTATAGAATATACTTGAGTCAGATAAGGAAATTAGACTATGTTAGGATAAAAGATATTAGGAAAACTTTTCCTAGATATGATAGTGGTGTCATGTAGGACAATTCCTTACTTTGTAAAATAATGTATTTATCTTTATTTTATATGCATTGATGTTTTGCCTGCATGCACGTCTGTGTGAGGATGTCAGACCTGGAATGGGAGTTACAGGCATCTGTGAGCTGCCATGTGGATGCTGGGTATTGAACTCAGGTCCTTAGGAAGAACAGTCAGTGCTCTTAATCACTGAGTCACCTCTCCAACCCTCCCTATTTTTTTTAAAGCACTATCTTTAAGTATATAGGAATAAATTTTTATTTTTTCTACAACTTGTTTTCAGATATTTATCAAAAATAATCACACACATGCACATACACAGGTATATGCATGCCTGGTTGTGACCCACCATGTGGTTGCTAGGAATTGAACTCAGGACCTCTGGAAGGGCAATCAGTGTGTGTGTGTGTGTGTGTGTGTGTGTGTGTGTGTGTGTGTGTGTGTGTTAAGTTTCTGTTCTGCCATCTAGTTCCAAATAAACACACAAAGGCTTATCATAATTATAAACTGCTTGACTTATGACTCAGGCTTCTTATTGGCTAGTTCTTTCTTAGTCATTAACCTATTTCTATTAACCTGTGTATCTCCAAGTGGTCTTGCCCAGGTCTCTTCTTTAGCATCTCCCCAGTGACTGACTCTCTGAGTCTCTCTTTCCAGCCAGCCTTTTCCAAGTCGGGTAGATCCGCCTATACTTCCTGCCTGGCTACATCCTGCCTGTGGTTTACATTTTAAAAATTGTATGTTCCTACCCAGGTGTGGTGGTGCACACCTTTAACCTCATCAGCACCCTGGAGGCAAAGGCAGGCAGATTTCTGAGTTGGGCACCAGCCTGGTCCATAGAGTTGATTTCTAGGACAGCCAAAGCTACACAGAGAAACCTTTGTCTTGAAAAACAAAACAGCAACAACAACAAAAATTGTGTGCCTTTTTATGCTGATATTTAGATAAAACAAGTATAGCAAAATGGTAATACATGTATAATCTAGACACTATGAATATTCATTATATGGTTCAACTTTTGTAGATTTAACAAAATTCATAATGAGAACTTGGGGAGAAATATAGCAATTTAAAAGTAGGAATTAATTTTTCTGTCAATAGTCCTGTAGGCAGTAGAGCAATTAAGGTTCCTGACTGTTAGTTAAGCTTCTAGTTTCTCTGCTCCAGTGTGAGTCTTCCAGCTTCCATTATCAACATAGATGATGGGGCGAGGATATAACTCATTACAAGAAGCAGCACTTATTTCCTTGATGAAAAATTTCCCTCTGCGACATCATGTTTGCAGGGATGCTGGGGGAAGGGGGCATGTCTTAGTTCAGAACACCCCCCCCCCACCCACCCCCACCCCCCCGTGTTACTGTCCACTGCGTGACTTAATAGCAAACGTTAGTTAGTACTGAAGGCTGGCAAATTCAAGCTCAAGGTGCTGACAGATCTTATCTAGCCTTGCTACAAGCAAGGGTAAGGTAGACCCAAAGACCTCTTTGTCTTGGCTTTCTTGTTTCCTCACATAAATGCATGAATGTTTTCTCTTTCACCTAACTCTTGTTAGGGCCCAACTCCACATACTGTCATAGTATAGATTAGATTTCAGCAGAGGGATTTTGAGACACTTGGGGAATCTATAACAGTGTAGCTGAAATGTGCCATTTATGTATTGACTGGTGTGTGTGTGTGTGTGTGTGTGTGTGTGTGTGGTGGTGGTGGTGGTTAGGACCGAGAATTTCATTCATGTTCTATCACCGAGTTGTGCTCAGTCGTGTATTGGTTCAAAGGTTTGTTTACCTGATTTGTATACCTTATTTTTCTTCTGTTGATTTATAGACCAATTGAGTTTGAATATGCATTAAATATATAAAAGTTTAATTTTGAAGATTAAAATATTATTTTTCTTTAAACTTTTCAGTAGATAACAGATGCGGGTAAAAGATCCATCCAAAGACTTACCTGAGAAAGGCAAAAGAAATAAAAGACCCTTGCTACCTCATGACGAAGATTCTTCAGATGACATTGCTGGTAAATTGTGGTATCTGGCATCTCAGAGGAGAGGGGTAAAGGAGGAACAACAGATGCTTTTCAGTCACTAAATTCAGTATTGTATTTTCACCGTTTTCTTCATAAATCTGAGAACTAGTTGGTCTAGTTCCCCCCACAAAACCATTGTTGGTGTCCGTATTAGGATTTTAAGTTACAAGTATATTAAAATTGTCACATTGTTCTTTGTCTTCCCTCATGACTCATTAAAATGAAGTCTCTAAGCTACCAGAGGTGGACAGGTTTTGTTTTGCTAACTGTAGGACTTGCTTGGTCCTCTCTACCCTCCTCCTCCTCACCACTGTCCCCGCTTCTTCTCCCCCTTACTTTCTCCTTCTTTTCCTTTCATTTCTATGGTGATATGGTTGGAACAGGGCTACATTCCTACCCCAGGGCCTGCATGTGTCAGCTGAGCGTTCTACCAGCAAGCCACATGTCCAGCCCGCAGAGCTATCTTCCTTCCTCCCTCCCTCCCTCCCTCCCTCCCTCCCTCCCTCCCTCCCTCCCTCCCTCCCTCCCTCCCTCCCTCCCTCCCTCCCTCTTTTCTTTCCTTCTTTTCTAGACAGTCTCACTAGTGTCATAGCCTTTACTGGCCTAGAACTCATTCTGTAGACCAGGCTATCCTTGAATTCAGGAGATCCATCTGCCTCTGCCTCCTGAGTGCTGAGTTTAAAGATGTGTACCACTGCCCTGCTAGGACTTGCGTTTCTTTTTTCTTTTTTCAAGAAAGGGTTCCTCTGTGTAACAGCCCTAACTGTCCTGGAACTCACTCTGTAGACCAGGCTGGCCTCAAACTCAGAGTTCTGCCTGTCTCTGCCTCTACCTCTACCTCCTTCTGCGAGCTGGGATTAAAGGTGTGTGCCACCACCATGTGGCACATCCACTTATTTCTAAGGTTACCAGTGATTTCAGTTTTAGAAGTCTGAATGGCAGCATCAGAGTATTTTACATTATCTTGATCAGAACCCATCCCACGGCTTATGAAGAAGATATATAGGATAGAATGACTTTTCACTTTAGAATTTTAAATTATAAAATTCATACAAAGTAATGGCATTTTGTAAGCTGTTCCTTTCTTTAATGGCATGGGTCCTTGCTATTTGAAAAAAATATATATACACACACACACACATATTTGTTTTTCTTTTTTGGTTTTTCAAGACAGGGTTTTTCTATATTGCTTTGGAGATTGTTCTGGAACTCGCTCTGTAGACCAGGCTGGCCTCGAACTCAGAGATCCACCTGCTTCTGCCTCCCGAGTGTTGGGATTAAAGGCATGCGCCACCAACGCCCAGCTTTGCTTTTTCTTTTTGAGCCATGGTCTCTAACCTTGGGTAGCCTCAAACTCAGATGTTCCTACCCGCTGAGGGCTTGGGTGGACTGTAGGCTTGTGTCATTATACTGTGTTATAGGGTAGTGGGGCTAAAGCTGTGAATGCCAGGCATTCAACTGAGCTATACCCAGGCTCCAGAACCAGTCCTTTCATTGATGAGGGAGGTCAATGCAATATGGAAATTAATATATTTATTTACCAGAGAAAGAACTTACACACAAGCTGGATGATCAGAAGCGTGGCAGGCTTCCAAGAGAGAGTGAGGTTTTCCTTTTCCTTCCTTTAAATGTCTCACCTGTGCCCATACTCCTGTCCCCGCCCTTTTGGGCATGGACAGTATTGTAGGGTCACCCCTACATTTCATGTCTGTTTTTATGGTTTGCCCTTGATGTGGAATTAAAAATTTTAATATTTTATATATTTCATTGTAAATACCTAGTGAGGAATGACATTCATTTTAATGTACAGCTAACTGCACAAACTCACAGAGATCTGCTTGCCTCTGCCTCCCTAGTGCTGGGATTAAAGGCGTGTACCACCAACTCCCGGCTACACCTAACCTTTCTAGTTAATTAGTTAATTAGTAGATGGTTATGGCTTTGTAAATGTAGTTTTGATGTAGATGTCTGAGGTAGAGAAATTAAAGTGTTCAGGTATTTGGGGACAATGTAAGTATTACCTGGACCCTTGGGAGGAGAATATAATTATTTGAAGATGTTTTATTTGTGCTTAGTTTTAGCCATTTGTCTCTATGTAGTGGAAGCTTTTATAAATGATGTTTAGGGACTAGGCAAAATAAATTTTCATCATATGAGAATATTCAAGAAGAATTCTGAAGCTGGGCAGTGGTGGTGTACACTTCTAATTCCAGCACTTGGGAAGCAGAGGCAGGTGGATCTCTAAATTCAAGGCCAGCCTGATCTACAGAGTAAGTTCCAGGACAGTCAGGGATATACAGAGAAACCCTCTGGAAAAAAAAAAAAAAGAACTGATTCCTATAAATTATGCTACTCTTTGTTTTTCTTTATCCTAACAATGATGGATATAGAAAAATGAATGTAGGTGAAAAGATTTATGTATCCTTTTATTTACTTATTGGTAATAGCAAATGAGCCTGGTGCTGTGTGCTAAGCACAAACTCTATCTGTGAGCTACACTCCTGGTCTAAATATGTGTTTTCCTGCTACTTCTTGCAGAACTGGGGAGTGACCATATGGATACTTATTTAAAATATTTTTTATTATTTTTATTCAAAATAATTTTTATTATTTTTTTAAAGATTTATTTATTTATTACATATACACTGTTCTACCTACATGCCAGAGAGGGCACCAGATTGAATTGTAGATGGTTGTGAGCAACCATGTGGTTGCTGGGAATTGAACTCGGGACCCCTGGAAGAGCAGTCAGTACTCTTAACCTCTGAGCCATTTCTCCAGCCCCAATTTTTATTATTTTTTATTTGTCAGTGAATGTCATACATGTATGAGTGCCTGTGGAGGTCAGAAAAAAGTGCTGTGTCCCTTAGAAGAGGAATTACAGGATGTTGTGAGCTTCTTAATGTGTGTGCTGAACTCTAGTCCTCTGAAAGAAAGAACAGGAACTGCTTAGTGAACAGTAAAGACATTCAAAGTGCTTGAGACATTGTAGCTGTTCGGGAAATAGTCTTTTAAAAATCTTTTTTTTTCCCTTAGGTCTTACTATGTATCTCTGGCTATTCTGAAACTCACTATGTAGCCCAGGCTGGCCTCCAATTCACAGAGATCTGCCTTCAGAGTGCTGGGATTAAAGGCATGTGCCACTATACCTGGCTTAGTAAATATTAATTAATCTTAATCATATTTCCAGCTTTGGACTAATTTAGATTAACATGAAGACATAAAGACATATATAGAGGTCTCTTTTAACCTTTACTTGTACTTACCCGATGTTAACATCTGACATTGCTATAACACAATATCAAAATTGATGAAATCATCCTGAACTTATCGAGATACCACATTTTGTATGTGTGTGTGTGCACTTGTGGTTTTATTATGTGTGTAGTTTTTGTATATGTCAGTGAGCCATGCTTTACACCATCCTGTGTGTTACCTATTTATATCCTCACCCACACCTCCTAGGAACCCTCATCTCTTCTGTAATTACTTTATTTCTAGGATGTTATGTATATGCACTGGTGCAATTATATATCTTTCTGAGCTACTTTGTTTTCCGATTCGTGCTTTTTATTTAGTATCATTTTAATGATGCAGGCTTTTGCTGACTGCCCTGGTTTGCTTTCTGAGCCGTGACAAATGGCTGAAGAGGTGAAGGCTTATTTCAGCTTACAGTTTCTAATGTGTCAATGAAGAAAGTCAGAGCAGGAACATGGAAACAGAAGGAAAGCAGAGGCCATGGAGGAACACTGTATGCTGGCTCGTTTGCTGCGGCTAGCTCAGCTTGCTTGCTTGCTTTCTTTCTTTTTTTTTTTTTTTTGGTTTTACAAGACAGGGTTTCTCTGTATTGTTTTGGAGGCTGTCGGTCCAGTCAGCTTTCTTTCTTACAAAACCCAGGAACACCTGCCCAGAGATGGCACTGCCTATGTGGGCTGCGCTGTCTCTCATCAATTAATCAAGAAAGTGCCTACAGACAGACTTGCCTACAAGCCAATCTGATGGAGGCAATTTCTCAATTGGGGTTCTGTCTTTGCAGACGACTCCAGCTTGTATCAAGTTAATAAACTAATGAGCACTCTCGCTGATGGTAGTGTTTTTGCCTAGCAGAGGAAATGTTTTCATTTTGCCCCGTATTATCCAGTAGGTTTAACGTGCCAACACGTCAGTTATGCTGTCAGTGTAAATCATGTGAAGAAGGCTGTAGCTGAGAACCTGTGGTCCGTTTGTTCAGAATGTTTGAAAGAGAGAAGATTCTGTGATGGACAGCCCGTGCTTCCTTCCGATATTTGCTTGTGCCTCAAGTGTGGTTTTCAGGTAAGAAACATGTCATTTATTATGTATGTCTTCTATCTTTATCTTTAAAATGCCTACTATGAGTTGGACTTCTGGTGATATAGGCCTTAAGATAGATTCATCTCATATTTAGGTTGCTGTGTTAAGATGGACTTAGGCATGTTGAGGGTTAAGTATCTGCTGTGTTTGGAAAGTAATCATGTGTAGTTCATAGCTTGAAAGGGAATCTAATGCACTTGCTATATCTGGACCTGTTTTGTCTTTTTTTTCCTCCTGAATTGTAGGAAATGGATCTAATCTTTTGGATTCCTTTTTCCATTCCTTTATGTCCTTTTTGTTACTATTATTATTAATTTGCTGTGCACACACACACATGGATATCAGCAGTTTCCTTTACCCTAATAATGGAATTTTCCACTGAAATAAAAGTGGTGACGCACACCTTTAATCCCAGCATTCGGGAGGCAGAGGCAGGTAGATCTCTGAGTTCAAAGCCAGTTCTATTTATAGGACAGTCAGGGCTACTTGGAGAAACCCTGATCCCAAAAACTAAGATAAATAAATAAAATAATTAAATACAGAAGTCAAGCCACTTCAAAGCTAGCAAGAGAAAGAAACTTTCAAAATCAAGCCTCCTATTGTTTTACTGTGTCATCTCTAGCTTTCTGGCTTTTGAGACTGGAGATGCTTCAGGCATTGTGTGTCACATAGCAATCTCCAATGCTCATGAGGAAGGAACAGTATATCCCTTTCTTTTTGCAGATATATGATGCTTTCCTAAACTGTTCCTCTCATGTAATACTCGTTCCCTTACTTATCTAGTGGGGGATTTTACCACACTGGCCCTGTTTCCATTTCCGGTGGGCTTGGGGTGGAGGACTGGGAAATATGTGTTAGGGGAGGAGACCCCTGGGCTAGTGGATGCTCAGTGTCCCACAGTATATAATATATATGACAGCGAGTGCATCCATTCCTAAATGACAGGGAAATCAATCATCTGTGGGTATTACAGGTAAATACATAGTGAACATTAAGTTATCTACTTTACAAATAATGATATTTGGTAAAAATCTATATTGCTCTTTGAAACTGTCCCCTCTTGCTTGAAACAAAAAACTGTGCAATTTAAGATTTGATCAATTCGAAATAAACTTCTGTGTGACTCATACAGATAACGTTTTGTTCATCTTCAGGGATGTAGTAAAAATTCAGAAAGCCAGCATTCACTGAGACATTTCCAGAGCCCTGGGACAGAGTCCCATTGTGTTGTCATTAGCCTGAGTACCTGGACCATATGGTAAGTTAACTTTTACTAGTACTTTATCCACTAAATCAAAATGTAATACCAATGTATAAGGTTTTTCTCTTGTACACAATCTGTAGGATAATTTAAGAAATTATATGTATATATATATATATATATATACATACACACACACACACACACCCACACACACACACACACACACACACACACACACACACACACTTTGGAGGCTGTCCTGGGACTAGATCTGTAGACTAGACTGGCCTCCAAAGTGCTGGGACTAAAGGTGTGCACCACCACTGCCTGGCAAAAAACATAATTTTACCTCCAAACATAAGGCTTAAATTAAAAAAAAAACAAACCTTACTTATCTTTCACATAATCTTTGTACCATAAAGAAAAAGTCTGTCTTGTTGCATTTTCTGTAATGAACTAATGCAGAATTCCAGCCTTCTAAGAGGAGGGTGGTACTGTAAGCACTCAGGTGGTTCAGGGACTCTCTAACCTACACAGTAATGCTCTTAAACTATTATTGGAGTCAAGTATTGTGTTTTACAACTGAAATCGCTGCACTGGGAAAAAACAGGCAGGTGATTGTGAGTTCCAGGCTAGCCTGGGCTCTATAGCTAAGCCCTCTCTCAGAAAGACCGAAAACAGTGGCTAAAGAAAAGGTTCTGAGGTTAAGAGTGTGTATTACAGGGATGGAGAGATGGTTCAGCTGTTAGGAACACTGGATGTTCTTCCAGAGGACTTGGGTCCAATTTCCAGCACCCACAATGGTCTGTAACTCCAGTCCCAGGGATCTGATGCCCTTTCTAGCCTCTGTGGGTGCTGCATGCATCAAATACTCACACACATAAAATAAAAATAAAAAAGACCTAAAACAAAGACCAGGTATGCTGATGTGCACATTGAATCCCAGCACTCGGGAGGCAGAGGCAGATGGATCTCTGTGAGTTGCAGGCCAGCCTGGTCTACAGAGTGAGCTCTAGGACAGCAAATGCTGTAAAGAGAGACCCTACCTTTGTTGCTGTTTTGTCTTGTGTTTTGAGACAAGGTCTGTCTACACAGCTCTGGTTGTTCTGGAACTGAACCAGGTGGTCTTGAACTCACACAGATCTGCCTGCTGCCTCTGCCTCCTTGTACTGGATACTGCCCAAAACAAAGCAAGCAAAAAAAATTCCACTTACACACACACACACACACACACCACGAATTGGGTACATGTGTAACTCGGGCTGTATAACTGCTGTGCCTGAAACCTTGTGACAAACTGCAAAATTTGGATGGTGAGGATCTATGTGAACTGTCCCTTGTTTATTGCCTACCTTCCCCTTTGAGTTCCCTATTTCTATGTAATTAAAGAGAATTGTTAAGTGTATACCTGGCATGTATTTATTGAAAGTGCTTTCATAACACTGGCTTGCCTTTTATATTTTTCAGGTGTTATGAATGTAACGAAAAATTATTGACACAGTGTAACAAGAAGGTTTTGGCTCAGATAGTTGACTTTCTCCAGAAACATGTTTCTAAAACACAAACAGGTAACTTAAGCAATTTGCTAAAGCAATTTAGGTTAAAGTATGATTTGTACTCTGCGTAAAGAGGTCATAAAGAATACCTTTGGGGCGGGAGAAAATTAAAAAAAAAAAACCTTTGACCCCTGCACCCAGGAGGGAGAGGCAAGTAGATCTCTGTGCATTCTAGGCCATACTGGTCTACATAGTGTGTTCCAGTCCATCCGGGACTACATGTTGAGAACCTACCTCAAATACAAAACAAATCACATCTTTGACTTCACTAGACTTTTCTCATTCTGTAATTTGAGGAAACATACTTTCATACATCCCTAGCTAGCAGTCTCATCTTACTATCATATCATGTTAGGTATGTGTATTTCTAATGTGAGAAACAGAAGTATGTAGCTAGCAGGAGCTGTAACATGTAACAGTCCTAGTTTGAATTTTGTCTCCTACACTATTGGCTGTGGGCTTCTACACCTTAGTTTCCCTATGATAAAAGTGGTGTAAGAATTCTGTTTTGATGGCTTCTAGTCAGGTACGGTTTGCCTGGTGGTGGTGGTGCACGCCTTTAATGCCAGCACTCGGGAGGCAGAGCCAGGCAGATCTCTGTGATTTCGAGACCTGGTCTACAAGAGCTAGTTCCAGGACAGCCTCCAAAGCCACAGGGAAACTCTGTCTGGAAACCCCTCCCCTCTAAAAAAAAAAGAATTCTATTTTGAGGAGTGTTGTGAAGCTTGACAGTAATACTTTGGGAAGATTTAGAAATAATGTTTGTGAAAATACTGGACTTGTCCTGACACAGTTTTGGAACGCGGTCTGCTGTTGTGTGTTGCACAATTGCAGTGCTGTTCTGATCCTAACGTAGGCCGGACATCACTGTTGAGGGATCACGTTGCCCTCCAGTCTGCTTGCTGGCCCCAGTTTTTAAGTTTCCAAGGATTAACGTCTGTTTGGGCCTGTGAGATGACTCAGTGGGAGAAGATGCTTTCCGGCAAGTCTGGTACTTTGGGTTCAATCCCTGGTACCCACATGGAGGGAGGAGTCTGTGCATATGTGGATACTCATTCCAGGGTACTTGTGTAGAGGCTGGAGGACAACCTGTTAGAATCTGTTCTTGTTTTTCACCATGTGGGTCCTGAGGACCAGACTATGTCATCAGACTCAGCAGCGTGTCCTCTTAAACAACCCCCACCCCACCCCCCATCCCGTTGGTCCTTGAGATGCCTTTGAAGAAATGAACTGCTTGGAATGTAGTACTAGCAGTGGGAAGGTTTTTATAAAAATATAGTTACAATAAAAATGCTGGGATAGATCCCAGGGCCTTGTGTGGGGTAGGGAAACACTGTACCAGTAAGCTACATCCTCAACCTTTTGGTTGTCGGACAATACAAAAACAAACAAAACAACAAGAGCAAAAAACCCCATAGTTTCCAATTGTATTCCAGTATGTAGTTGTCTATGTTAGCTCCCAATTGCTCTGAAGAGGTGAAGTCAGGAGGGGGAGATATAAGCCCAGCTTCTGGACAGCAAAAGAAATCATTAATCTTATCACTTCTCTACTTAACTTGTTTGACAAGCATTTGCATGGTTCCTACTTGGTCTTAGGTCTACCAGTCATGGCTCAGTTTCTACTGAAACCAGGAACCAGGGAGATGTGGGGAAAGACCCTGAGTGCTTCAGCAATTGAATCCAGAGAACCTCACATTGTATTTGCTTTGTTGCCCTAAGGACACATGCCAGCAGTGATGGGGAAGCCATTTTTTTCTGCATTTCTTACCTTAGGTCTCCTAAGGTTTTCAGATTTCTTGAATACTCAATTGCAGCAAGACTGCTAGGAAGGCAGTATGTTAGTTTTTCATTGCTGTGACAAAAACCTGAGAGAAAAAACTTGTGGGAAGGATTCATGTTAACTCCCTTATTGTCTTGTGGTGTCAGAGGCTTTTGTCTATGATCAGCTTGCTCCCTTGCTATGGACTTATGTTGAGTCAGAACATCATGGTAAGTTGGTTTGGTTTTTTTTGTTTGTTTGTTTGTTTTTTTCTGAGACAGGGTTTCTCTCTGCAGCCTTGGCTGTCCTGGAACTGACTCTGTAGAACAGGGACTTAAACTCATAGTGATCCTCCTGCTTCTGCCTCCCAGGTGCTGGTTAGGCCTGTTCTACCACCACCTGGCATTTTTTTTCTCTTTTGAGTCAGAAGATCACTGTAGTATGAGTGTGTGCCACAGGAAAGTTTTCCACCTCATAGTGGCTGGGAAGCAGAAAGAAAGGAGTGAGGTAGGAAGGGTACGATACAATCCACAAGGGCATGTGGTTCACAGTGACCTGCTTCCTCTCCTGCTAACGTTTCCGTTACTAGCACATCCCAAATAGCAACCTTCACCGGGGTGCAAGCCAAGTGCATGAGAGTTGGGTGAGAGCTTCGTATTTGGATTAGTTCTTTTCCTAATGCTGTGATAGAATGCCATGACCAAAAGCAACTTAGGGAAGAAGGGATTGTCTAGGCTTATAGTTTCAGAGGAGTGAGAGTCCTTCATTGGAGGGGAAGCGTTGAAACAAGGGGCCAGTTCAGGAACCAGAGGTCACGTCTTCAACTGCAGACACAAAGCAGAGAGTGATCTGGCAGTGGGGCCATGCTGTGACCTCTCAAAGCCTACCCCACTGGCACACTTCCTCTGGTGAGGCCACATCAGTACCACGGTGCCACTCACTGGGGCCCAAGTGTTCAGATGTCTGAGCCTGTGTGAGACAGTCTCCTTCAAACCACTGAGGTATTGAGAACATGTGCTTTGAGTCAGGGGACCTGGCATTCAGATGGCTTCAGTCGCTAGCTGTGTGACCTCAGGTGCTCATTATAGCCTCATTTTTTTTTTCTTTCCTTAGCACATGGTTGTTTTTTCTTGGGCTACTTTAGAATTCTTAAAATACATTGAAACCATGAATTCAGAAGCCAAGATCATCCACCTCCAGAAGGTCTGATGCTTTCTTTTGCCTCTGTAGGCACTGCTCACTAATAAGTTAATGACAAACAAGTTTTTAAGAGGAAGATAACTTCACTGGGAGTTCTGATGGCTGTTCTGAGCCCTCCAGGTACCCATAAGCAGGCGTGCTCACTGGGAAAGGAAGCAGTAGTGGGTGAACTTGGCTTTTCAGCTGGTCTCTCGGAGGATGAACAAAAGAAATCTCTTGAGGTGGTGGTAGCCTAAGCCTCAGCAGTGCTTGAGGGGCCTTGAGTAGCACCTAGGAAATGGAACTTTAAGATAGCTGAAGGAGACTTTCACAATGAGACATTTTTGAATTCATGGTTTCCAAAAGTTCCAGCTACTGTGCTGCTTAGGCAGGTTCTGTTTTGAATAAGACCCCATGGCATGTTGGAAGAAATCTGTCATACTGTGGAATGAGAATTGCTGTCAAGGAGGAATTTGGAAGAATGATACCTCTGATCATGCAGTTATTAAGTAATATTTGTGAGGTCTTTATCCAGGTCAAATGCCACATACCATAATCTAAAAGGATATGTGCTTGGGTGGGAGGAAAATAATGATTTTTTTTCTTTCTTTGTTTATTAATTTTTCTTTGTATATTAATTGCAACATTCCTCCTCCTTTTCCTCCCTCCAAACCCCTCCCTGCTCTCCTTCAAATTCATGACCACTTTTTTTCATAAACTGTTATAGAATGTATATATGTATTTGTATATACATATATATTCCCAAATAGAACCTCTTGAGCATATGTAATGTTACCTGTATGTACATTTTCAGGGCTGTCCATTTGTCACGGGACAACCAGTTGGTGTGTTTGGTCCCTGGGGAGGGTCTCCTCTCTCACTCACAGATTTTCTCAGTTGCCTGTCATTTTTGGGTAGGAAAGAGTGATATTAAACAAATTCTTTTTGTGGTTTTGCACTAAGTTGAAATAATCACTGAGAAGAAAGCTGGTGCCAACTCCATGAGCACAGTTCAAGTGATGCAAGGCCTCCTTTCTAACACTTTTGATGTTATTTATAGGAAGTCTAGGTTAGTTCCCCATGCACCACTGAAAACAAGGAGCTCTTTGAGTCTGAAGATTTTGATGTTGCTGCCTCTTTGTACTTTTGAAAAATGCTTGAAGCTCAAGGAGCTCTGGTTACGTAGCTATGTCTCTCAGTCTTTGTTAGAAGTGAAATGAAAAAGTTTGAATGTTCACTAAAAAACGTCAATAATTTCATGACACTTAACATAAATACTACTTTTTAGGAATGATAAATACTTTTCAAAGTTGAATGAGTAGTGTTGTTTTACTTTTTTGGGGGTGTTGGCTGGAGACAAGGCATCTCTATGTAACCCTGGATGTCCTAGAACTCACTCTGTAGAGCAGGCTGGCCTTGAACTCAGAGTTCTGCCTGCCTCTGACTCCCCAGTGCTGGGATTCAAGGCGTGTGCCACCACCAGCCATCAGAAATAGCTGTACTGTCATCTTGTTCCTGTATCAGGAGTGGCTCCAGCACAGCTCCAGTCATTAGACGGCAGCTGCAAGGGACACACAGAAAAACTGGGACAGGGTGGGCCAGGCTCTGATGGAGAAACCAGAAGCTCAGTGTGGTTATTGAACAAAGAGGAAGTGTTGTATATGGACAGCTGATTTGAGCAGTTTGGGTTTATAGTGTACGGCTAGATCAAGGAGATAGACTGGGTTTATAGTGTACGGCTGGATCAGGGAGGCTGGTATAGCTGATCATAGTAGGAGCAGTCTCTGTAGAGGAGCAGACTTCACACTGTAAACATGGGGTTGGGGGCTATGGTGGACATTTTGAGCTTACACTATCAACATTCACACACAAACCCCTGAAGAAGGTTTTGCTAATCCTTTGATTCTTTCGTGGGGAAGGCCTTACCACTCCCATGGAGCTGAGGCATCGAGTCCTTGACATGGCCATGCCCATGTCAGCAGCACACATTCCCTTAGGACCTCACACGCTCGTGCTTCCTCCGCTCCCCACGGGTTTACTGTGAAGACTCCATGAAAGTGAGAAGACAAGGAGC